CTTTATAATCCTAGTAAATTTTTTTTTCATTGGTCTAAATGTAAGTCATGTAAATTTATTTGTTACTTTCTTTACATATGTAGACCATAATAATGAATATTTTCCTCGCTTTTTTTATGATATACATTTGCGAGAAATACTTTCTTATTAAACATAAGTTTTTAAAAGAAAAGCAAACTAGCTACTTATATTTTGTGTATCTCTGAATATTTCTGTGACTCAGTTGAAAATTCCCACTGACTAATTATATCGTGTTGTTGCAGATGCGACCTGGTGCATTTCTGGTGAACACCGCCCGCGGCGGTCTGGTCGATGACGAGACCCTGGCGTTGGCGCTGAAGCAGGGAAGGATAAGAGCTGCCGCCCTGGACGTGCACGAAAACGAACCTTACAATGTATTTCAAGTAAGAGATTGTTGTAAAACGAGACATTTTACGCAATCTGAGTTGGCGCCGCACCAACGTGGAATGTGATCAAGACTAACCGCATTTTTTTTGGCTTTCAGGGCGCACTGAAGGATGCCCCCAATCTGATTTGCACACCGCACGCCGCCTTCTTCAGCGACGCGTCCGCCACGGAGCTGCGCGAAATGGCAGCCACCGAGATACGGCGGGCGATCGTCGGCAATATTCCAGACGTGCTGAGGAACTGCGTCAACAAGGAGTACTTCATGCGCACGCCGCCTGCCGCTGCCGCCGGGGGCGTGGCGGCGGCTGTTTATCCCGAAGGTAAACTACAAATGATATCAAATCAAGAAAAGTAGAGAGACAGAGACAGGCGAGCAAGGGAGCGTTATTACAAGTAAAACAAAACAATACGAAACAAACAAAAAAACATAAGAAATCAACCAACAAAATCCAAGCAAAAATACAATACCAGAAATCGTTTATACACACATACCTTACACACATACACACACCATACCATAGCACACCCACACAAGCACACGCACACGCACACAGATGTAGCAAGCATCCAAACATACTTCTATTCTTTCTCTGACTCATTCGAAAGTATATATATATAGACGACGGGAGTGGAGCGCGCCAGAGAGAGTATATAACATTTGAAGCAAGATTCAAGAACACACGCTATAAGAGTTGATATATAAGTTACACAGTTTAAGCTATATAAATATATAGATCTATATATATATATATACGTATATATATAGTGGCTAAGCGCTGCACCAAGATCAGAATGATTGACGTCGATAAAAGGAGGATTAGAACGCAGCCGATGTTGGCCAAAAGTTACGTTTATTCATTATGTATCTGTGTATGTATATGCATTGTTTTGGCCCTACTGATAAAAACGCTTTCAAAAAACCTCTGAAGCCTTCACCGAGTTTCCATACTCTTTCGCTTTGAGAAATCCATTGCCTGAAATTCAATTTAGCTAAAAGAGTGCTTCTTTAATTCAAAATTCTGCGTTTTTTTTGGCCAACAGTCTTCTCTTTAGTCTTCAACAATTATGTGCATATATAGTGACATAATATACATATAAATGAATAAGTTTCAAGATAATTTACACACGAAAACAAGGTGAAAGTAAACAATATGATGGATTATTGTTGTTGATGTTTCGCGACCTCCCTTCATCCCTCCCAAAACCCTTCACACGTGTCCGGCTTTAACTTTAACAGAAACTAGAAACAATCAGCGGAGAGTATGTAAAGTAATTATGTTCAGTGTATTTAGCCATGTATTCAATGTATTTACAAATTAATATTACTACGGAAAACCCAAGAAAATGATTCCAATACGAGAAACTCCCCCACGTCAACACAATTTGTAAGCTTAAGAATAAAATTGGTTACCTTATTTTGCGCCATTCATTGCTGACTTTCAATTGTTAAATGGTTCGAACTAGATAAAAGAATACCCCAGAGGACATAGTGTTTAACTGAAATTACTATTCTGTTGCTCAAGCTCTGCTCTATATAACAAAATGATCTCATCATTCAAGTTTATTTTCGCCTTACGTACATTCTTGTGTTTTCAATTGGCTACAACAAACAAACAGCATAAAAGTAAATAACTAAACAACTATATATATTAAATAGATGACAACTCGGCGCGTTAGATTCAAACAACATCTATAAATAGAAAGAAGAAAACTAAAATTAAATTAACGCATAGTATATGTACATTTAAAATATAACAGAAATTATTATAAAGCAACCAAGCAAAAACAACAAAATGCTAGAAGAAGCAAAACATAAAAAAAGATAATACATGTAATATTAAAAACCTAGATTTACCTTAAAGATAAAGGCAGCTGAACGACGATGATAAAACAAGGATATGATCGTCAGCAAACGGCACAGTAAACATTGTTAGCGTGTAAATTGTAATTTTATTTAACGAGAATATATATTTACATGTAAACGGAAGAGCGCAACAATTGTAAGACTATCATTTTGTACAATTTTGCAATTTATGTTTAAAAACAAAAAGCTTCAAGCAGTCGCCACCAATGTTTGGATGGATTCCTCCTTCTTCCCTACTTTTTATTTATCTAACTATTTAATTTAAAGTCGATCCGATAAAGCTCAAGAACAGGCGAAATGAGAGAATACAATTCAATTCGATTCCTTAATCCCCGATCCGATCCCCATTTTTCCTAGATGTTTCCCGTTTTTTTTTATGTATCTTGTATTGTTTTGTAAGAACAAACATTTGTTGTAATATTTCAAACATTTACAAGCACAAAGCATACACGCATACAAACACAACATAGACACAGATACAGAGCAGTATACTCACACATCAAACACACACCCACGCACACACGCGATCCTATATAGCAAGCTGCAACAACAAATGAGCAAAGTAAAACATAAATAAGCATAAGCGTAAAAGTAAAAGTAAACGTAAAAGTAATGAGTAATGAGAAAAAAGAATAAAATACTGTTATTTTGTAATGTATAAAAGGATATTTTTAATAACTGTGAAAGCTAAATAAAATTAAAAGCGTAACAATTGACGATATGAAGCAACAAAAACAAAACAAAACAAAAAGTTAAGTCGGAGAAGTTAATTTGAAAACCAAGAAAACCTTTCCAGAAAAAACAAAAAACAAAAGATAAAAACAAATAAAACAAAATCTTTAATGAACCCATTAATGTTTTTAACTTGCCAAATTGGAAGCTGTTAAATTGTTGTCCTCCTTTTTGATGTGTGGCAGTGTTTGCAAGACTGTTTGAAATTTTATTTCCCCGCCTATTTGCTTATAATGCAATCGATCTTTGTCCTGGGATGATGGCATCATATTGAGAGCAAGCAGCAGAGCAAAGCATATTAAGATTAAAGTAACGCCCCAGCGAAAGTCAGTAATGAATGATAACGCTGGTCCCGGTAGCCTTAGTCAATTTGTATCTAGCTCTAAGGAACGGAAGGCCCACGAGATTCGCCGGTTCCTCTTTGTAATTCATTGCATCATTCAACAAAAACCCCAAAGACTACTTCTCTCATAATGTAGTCGAAGATTACACAGACTCGGCAACGTTTTATTACCCGCACTCAGAAATCCCAGAACCCGATAAAACATAATACCAACCAAACAGCAACATTTCATAATCTTTACCTAACTTTCAACTACCAAATACCAAATACCAATACCAACCAAATCGAAATACAATCCAGGATTAAATGGCGGCTATTATACAGGCGCACTGCATCACCGGGCACACAGCACCACGCCGCACGATGGTCCCCACAGTACAACCAACCTGGGCAGCACCGTAGGAGGCGGTCCGACGACAGTCGCTCAAGCTGCCGCTGCAGCCGTTGCCGCTGCGGCAGCCGCCGCCGCCCTCCTGCCGTCGCCGGTTCTGCCGCACTTGTCGCCCCAGGTCGGCGGATTGCCACTTGGAATTGTGAGTAGCCAATCGGTAGGTAACCCATAACAAAAACCTCTGTTGTCTTGTGTTTGTGTGTGTTGTTTGCCAAAGTTTGCCATTTGCCATTTAGCCATTTATCCAATTTGCCGAGACTCATCAGACACTCTGTTGTGGTAATCGTGTGCGTGGTTCTCCCAGCTCTAGTCCGTGTTTGTTGCTAGTTAGTCGTAGTTGAGTGTTGGCTAGGCTAGGGCTTTTGCTCATCGAGTTCGCTGGACAATGCGTTGCTAATCCATGACCCTCTTGCTTTTAGCCCCTGAGTGCGCCCGACCCTAATAATCATCTGTCATCGAGCATAAAAACGGAGGTGAAGGCCGAGTCAACGGAGGCGCCGTAGGCATCTGCTGTCCAAGTGGCCGGAGTCGGAGAGCTGGAGTTGATGACAACGGGCAGTGGCGCAATGGAGTCCCGCACACAACTGGCCAAAAGGAGTAGGCGGCAGAGGAGAAGGAGGAGCAGTCCCTAAGGATTTAAAGTAAAAGAAAACCCCCGAGGAGCAGCAGGCGATATCACAACAGTCCCTAAGGATTAAAATAAAAGAAAACCCAACCCCCGAGGAGTAGTAGTCATCTATGTGGAGTCCCCTATTCGTGCCGTTTGTTCTTTTGTTCCGATTGCAAAACAGATTCCTTGCGCGCCTGTGCCAGCGCTTGATTTGAATATTTCCAAGTTTCTATGTTTTAATTTAAAATACGATACATATTTGCATTACCAATCCCCCAAACAAACAAAAAACAAAACAACATAATAAATAACGCAGGAAAACATGAAGCAGTTTGATGAGGAGTATGAGAAAGATGATCCCACACACAACACGCCTCAAAATTTACTACATATTTAGACTTTAATTTGTAACTATTTAGAATTTTACAGTTACAATTTAAGATTTTTATTTGTATTGCAGCAAATTGTAAGTGAAAATATGTTACTACATATAAGCGCAAAAACAAACGCAAATGTTGGAAAATTTTAATTACGAGAAACACAATTATGGCATACAAAAAAAAAACACTAGAAACAAAACAAAAGCAACACACAAGAGAGACGTTTAGTGCTAAGATACGTTTAAAGTATATAATAAAAGAAAAACAAAAGAAAAGCGAAAAACATCTGTATTTGAAAGGAATTGACACGTATTTTATCGACTGGAATACATATAGTACATTTATTTGAGTCGGTTACAAACAAAGGCTCGTTTGCTTCGGGTGGTAGGTTCTATTCTAAATGCTACATAACACCATTTACGGAATAGCAAGTCTACGCAGCTAATAATCATGCGCCAAGATACATACAGACTGCTTATAGTTCGCTTGGTAATCGTATTTCTAAAACATTATTTACGTTTACAACGCTCAGATATAGTATAGATAATAAAGTACATGTAGGTTGGTATGTTTCGGTTTTCGTTTTGTAAAATTCCTCTTTGTTTATCATTTAGCATTAGTTATACATTTATAACACACGGCCATTGGAAGGTCCATCACGTATTCCCTCAATTTTGAACAGTACTAGCTAACTTTTAGATTTTTGCTACGGAATGAACAACATCTATGAGTAAGAATGGAAGATAAAGTAATGCAAATGCAGAGGCGGGTTCTATATGTAGTATTCTTCTTCAAATTTACATTGCATTCTCGAGCTTAACACAAGCCTGCTAGGAAACCTTGTACATACTATATGGAATACGATGCCTTAACTATCCAAAACTTAGTTTCATATACACGTGGTTCTTTTGAGTTAACAATCAGGTGGACAATAACAATGTGATCAGATCAAAGCGAGTTCGAATTGTTAGTGATTCTTGTCTGGTAAACGAAAAATTGTAAACGAGTTAATAATATAATTTATCCAAAAATAATGATTATCAAACGACGGTTAACATCACTGAATAGAAATCTAAAGTTCAAAGTTTTTTAAATTTATAGTCGAAACATGCCCAACAGATTTCTTTGATCTCGGGACTTTTAAAACTAGGATTATGTGTAATGGTCTCTTCTGTTTGTTTTCGTTAGTATCTGCGTATGCAGATATATACATCCACGGATATATTTCGTATATAAACGAGTCTATCAAAACATCATTCTACAATAAAATACAATACAACTAATTCGGTTCATCTGCGTACGTTAAAATGTGTGAAAATCAGCGCAGGGATTCTTAAGTCACTAAAACAAATTCAACAACGTAGCAGACGCAGGGTGTAAAGTCGCCTCATATTTGGTCCACAGTCCATCTAAAAGAAGCGGGTCAGGCGGGGCCGGAAGAAGCGGAAGGCACCGTAGCATCCCAGGCCAATCAGGCCATACTTCAGCGTGTATGTACAGACGCGTTGGCCGATACTGGCCGGAGGAATTTCGAGAATAGCGGGAATCTTCTTGGGGTCCACAGTCCCCCACATCTTGGCAATGCCGTTGGCATGCCCTATGCCTACCACTCCGACCACGCGCATCGGACGGATCTGCTGGGCACCCGGTGCCGCTTGAGGCAGTGCAGCCAGTTGCAGCGAGTGGCACAGGTAAATGTCGCGCTCGCGAACAAAAACATCCGAGAAAGCGGGAAACTCGCCGGCCATTTCCTGCATTAACTTTTCCAGCAGATCGCTCTGCTTGCACTCCTCCACCTCCTCGATGCTAATGCTGTCCGTGAAAGTCAATCGCCAGACCAGCTTCATGGTTTGCCACAGCGACAGGGCACGCAATGCCCGGTACAGTGTTATGCGAATCGGTCGATCGCCAAGGTGCAGAATACAGCCGGGCAGCTTGTGGATCTCCTCAAAGGCACGCCGGAACTCTCCGCCCGGCGCCATCCCCAGGTCCTTGGCGATCTGGGCGCTCATCTGCAGCAACAGGATGAAGAAGATGCCGTTGATGTAGCCATGAGTGTGCAGGATTCCGCGGATCTATAAGCGTTAAATTTGGTTACAAGGTTGTAATCTTGGGATTTTTTATTTTGTGGAAAGTCCAGCCTTCTTGAAATTAGAGTTTTATCTTAATAATTATCATTACCTTGGGAATATTAATGCTCTTGGCCTCTTCCAACAGCGTCTTTTCATCGAGCTTCAGGATGTGAATACGCGATGGACACAGCTCAACCATGACCACATCTGGACGGACATTGCGTATGACCTTGAGGAATTGAGATCACGTTAAGTAACCGTTTTAAAGAGCAATTAGACTACTTACAAATGAGACGTCGTCCTGCGACTCCTCGCTGAAGTGGGCCGTGCCCACGAGATAGACTTTGCTGCCGAAAGGCGTGTTTAACAGCGTCACCGTAGACGGCAGATTCTGTTCGAACTCCTCAATGGTGTCGTAGATTGTGATATCGCGCTTGGTCTGCGGCTGATCGATGACCGGCACCAGATCCCGCTTTTCGCCATCGCCATCTGCTGCTGCCGAAGCCTCTGCAATTGAGATGTCCAGCTTCTGCTTGCTCGTCTGCAGCAGCGATTCCTTGCGACGACGCTTGTCTGCGTTTGCAGACGCACAAGCATCTTTGCTGGGCGACTTCTTGTGCAGATTCTTCACGTTGTCGCCTTCCACCAGCACCACCTCCTTTTCGAGGTCCTCCTCCTTAATCGAGTTATCGTTAATCTCTATAATTGACAGGTTGGGATTATCCGTCTTGAATATTGTCTTATTGGCCAGCTGTGACTTGGGATCCACCTCCTCCTGCGACGTGTTAGTGTCAGTGCTCTCGGACTGAATCAGCAGCATGCTGGCATTGAGAGCTGGTGTGGGACTGTTGAAAGCGGCCGGTGACGGGGATCCGAACGACTTAAAGACAGCCGACTCATTGCCAAATTCCGCATTGACTGTTTTATTGCCGGAATTCAAGGGGCCCAATGGATTTTGGCTCAGTTCGTTGATAAGGCTCTCTGTGGATTGTAATAAAAGAATACAATGATCAGTTCATTAAGGCTAAAACCAAGTTTACTAATATGTAACGGAAAATATAATAATTAATATTTTTGTAGGAGCGGCTGCTTAAATTTTCATTTTCTCTTATAAAGAACTTCTTCCTCTGCTCTTTTAAGAGAACTGCAGAAACCTTAATTGATTAATCGTATAAAAATATAATTTTTTCTCTTGAACGTTTGGCTAAATTCAAAGCTGACGAAAATGGTGGACCTTTTTTCTTTTAAATATATTAACGAAAACATTAATTATTCTTTTAAGATTTCCTGTTCATATAGGACTTTCAGCTGGTTTATATATTCTTCTCCGCAACTTTGATCTTGACAGTCGTTTATTAAAAACTGCTTCAGCAGATCGAAACACTTCTCCTTCATGGCTAAAGCATTTAATTTTTGGTTATCGTCTTGTTTGGACAACTGATTTTCATACTTATAAATAAGTTTCTGCTTTAGTTTCTTGACCTTCTCATTAATAATGGCTTCAAGAGAAGATTTCTGACGTTCGTGGGCGTGAATGCACATCTTCTGCACAATTTTCCTTAGCTCGTAGTCCAAGGTCTTGAAATGATCTTTGAGTTTTTCATCGCCCGCAAAGGCTACGAACATTTGCGAAATAAACTGGTTGGGAAACGTCTCGAAAGCTTGGGATTGCAAACTATGTCGAGCTGCTACCATTAAGGTTTTCTTGATCGTCTTGCTAAAGATAGACTTCTGACTGTTCTCCATGTTAAGTTTCCTTAGCTTTTGCTGCTGGAAGTTCGTTTGGATTTCCTGGGCAGCTAGCTTAAGTTTAAGAGTCTTGACCTTGCGATCGAGGTTGGCATTTTCTTCTTTCAGGTCTCTTTGAAGATAGAGAGGTCCAGAATCTGAGGTTTCGTCGCTAGTTTCATCTAGCAGTTCCTCCAGATTGGCAAGGTCCGTGAACGGAGCATTCAAATGACCACTTGTGGTTAATTGATACTCCATTTTCCGTAGAATACGATGACGTTCCGTTTTCGCCACCCTGTTCGAGTGCTGCAAGGTGTCCAGCCAGCGCCTGCAGAGATCACGATCCTCGGAATCCTGCGACAGCGTGCGGATGAGCTGATAGATCGGATCTATCTTATCTTTTGAGGACCGCCTACACTGTGTTCCCAATAAGGGGGAATGATTCTGCTGGAAGATCTGGCCTAGTTGGTCGTCTGAATGCTGAGTCCAGTCTGCTTTTCGGGTTTCAAAATCACAAGAATGAGTCTCCCGAAATATATGGTCGTGGTACTCCTCCGTTTGCTGGATCCTGTCTGATTTCAGGACTTTGAAGGCTTTGGATTGGTTCTGCTTACCATTGCAGGATTTGTAGGCCGTGGTGGACAGCTGGTGATCCAAAGCACTGTCATACAGCGTGTTGTCGCCCTCATAGGTGGTGCTCCTTTTGTCCGGCGAAGATTCAAACGACGTGGAGGCGGACACGTCCATGGTGGTGCAGTATCGTTCAGTTCGCCTGGAAGAATCGGTTACGAGTGGAAATTCGGTTTCGGTTGACGGCGACGTATGAACATCTGGCGAAGAACTGTGGAGTGGCAAAATTAAAGAGCGATTATCAGAGACATATAGATAATACGTTGCTTTACTCTCAGCAAACTGCAAATTTGTGTAACTTTCTGCCTACGTGTCTTCGTACATTGCCAGATGATTTTGGGCACTGGGTTTTTTCAAGTGACTGCTAAGTCCGGGCGCGATATATTTTCTATCTGTATCCCATAATCTGAATAATTTACCTGGGCATTCCTCGATCCCAATTTACTCACCTGAAAATTTTTGTTTAGTGTGGATGTTGCACTGGTAAAAGTTCGGGTGCATCAGCAAACCCTTAATTGACTATTATTCGCCGATTGGAAACTTAGTTTGGCTGCCACTGATCGCCGTTTTGATTCGGTGCGTGCACTTAATTTTAATAAAAACCCAAAAAACTAAAGAAATTAAATTGTGACTGTGGCAAATTGTCGTTTTCTTCTTCTTCCCAGCGTCGACCAGTGTTGCCTACTGACTGCAGGGGAATTATACGAGCTCCTCTTATCTGTAATCGATATCAATTTTACAAGAGTTAATAGTCGAATGGGCGCCATTTGCTTTTAAAATTTGAAATGAACCCAATATGATAAATGTTTTCAAATTTGGGAACACAAATTTATTAAGAGTTTTTATTTGTATTTAGAAACATAGTTTTTTTTGCAGTAATGTTTTCTATTGATACTGGTTCTTATAAATATCGTTTGTAAAACTTGGTATTAAAATGTCTTTCTTTTTATTAAATGTTCGGCAAAAATAAATATGCTTACTCAACTTACTCTCAACTCGTAAATACTCTAAAAAGTGGGAATGCAGCTAATTATTGCTTCGTTATGTTTGTGTTTTAAGTCTGAACAGAGATCTTTTCTAATCGAGGAACACTGTAGAACCTAGCCTTCCACCGAAACCAGGAGCACGAGAATCCCACGGCGAATGTTGTGAAGAACACTCTTGTTACTCTCCTTGGCCTGGATATCCTCCTGGATGCCGGCGTTGCCTAGAAACCTTGGCCTTGAACTGGTTCCGGAGGTACTCGTAGCTGGGATGCCGATTGGATTTATAAAAACTTTATTATGTGTATTAAATTTAAAATAGCTTATTAAATATATTATATTCATTTGTTACGAATTCACTCTTCCGAATTTCAGAGTAAAACAAAAAAATGGTTTAAATATGGGCTCTCATCAGATAGTTTTAGTCAAAAAACATATATACATTTTTTAGTATTTTTGCAGTATAATAGATTTTTTGGTATATTGGTGTCAACTGAACTTTAGGAGTCTCCCTATTATACTGGATAATTGGATAGTATTTTTTAACGGTTACGTTGGGGTCACACCTTTGTTTTGTTTTGCTTTGCAACACGACTTTTTAAATTGTAATTGCAGCATGGCCGAAGAACCTGAGGAACCCGGCAAGGTAGGGATTACATAAACATACAATTAAAGTTTAGCTGAGTTAAAGCATACCTCCCAATCACTTCCACAGAGCTTCTTTATCTTTGGCCGTGATGTATCACAAATCCCATGCTTTCGTAACAGTTTTCTTTACGGAATCAGCGGTGGTATCGGAATCGGATTGCTAACTTTTCTGGGCACCTCGCGAACCCACCTTTCCACCCACGTGGGCTTCGGGTCCTTTTTCTGCGGCACCGTTGCCTACTGGATGTCCTGCAGGTAAGTGGATTAAGATTAATCCCTATGATTCTCTAGTAATTATATTCAACCCACAGATATCAGTGGTCCTCGCGGAGATTCGAGCAACAGCAACTTCGGGAGGCGATGAGACGACAAGCTTTATATGAAGGCACCGAAGTGGAGCGGGATTTAGATCTTAAGTCTGCGTAGCATAAGTCAGTTCCTATCCCATTTAACTACTTTGATTCTTATGTTTTCACTCTGGTACCAGATAGTTCAGGTATTGTTAAATTACTTTTGTTGTAAAATCCCTTTTGTTACCGGTCAGATTTATAATAGCCAATGTATTATTTTGTAAGTAAAATCTTATATTGAATTTTCAATCACCTAATTGAAGAATTTATACATAATGCATATAAACATGTTTTATAGATTTACTTGGGTAATTGTTTATATGAGCTAAAGGCAAAAGTTACTTAAAGATAGTTTGTTGAACCTAAATGTAATTTATTATATCAGTTGAGTTTTGCCTTTATAGCCTAGTACCAACAAGCTTCTCAAGACCTTTATATTTTTCTATTGTGCTTTCCATTTGATCTAAACCGTCAGATATTGTTGTGTGCTATTGAACCTTTGAACCAAATATAATATTAAATATGTTTTGTAACGATCTTATATATTATTTCTGCCAGAGTCACCAAATTAAAAAAGGTTAGGAGAACAGATTTGGTATTAAGGTGGGAGTACTATTTAATAGAGCTGTGAAAACTTCAAAGATTTTCAGGTACTAAATTCATGGCGTTGACAAAAGTTAGTTACAACCAATAGGCAATGGAACATTTTGTCACCCAGCTGTTAGCACCATTAAAGATTATTATTACCTTCTATTAGCGAACTAGAAACTTTTCTTGTATTAAAAAAGAGAGGGTGATATACAAAACCTATTCGAAGATTTGGCAATTTATACAACTAGTTATATAGATACAAATTGCATTTTAAAGATAGATACCGAAATAACATTTTTTAATTGATTGGTAGTGTTAGTATTCGAAGTTGACATTGAACAAGTAAAATGTATTCTACCTAAGCTTCATTTTCTGTCATAAAGGCGAGATCAACACTAAAAGAAGAGGGAAGTCTCTAATAGTATTTAATCATCTTAAATAAAGAAGGCTGATAATAAATGTATCTTGAAAATAACATGTTGACAATGCTGGTAGATAGATCCAAGATAAGCTTCTATTTAATTTGTGGTGGGATAACTTTAACCCGTTCAAACTTCAGTTCCTAAAAACCAGAAAATCAATCATGTAATAAAAACTGATGGAAAGAACCAATTTTCATTTTTTCTTCTACCTGACTGTTCGGATCTGTAAAGACTATGGGATGATAGATGATGGAACTCCCTCCTCGAAACCCATAGACGTGGTTATTTCTACACACATGTTAGCGATCCTGCAGTTCGTCGTACCCTCAGCCTTATCTCATAAAAGTCGGCGTTTGGATGAATTGCTCGGTCGTTGGCACATTCATTACGTTTTCGTTGACGGCGCAAGGCGGTTGTGTTATTTTATTCGGCGGGCGCATGAGTTTCTCGTCTAATTTTTAAAAACTCGTTTTACATTCAAAGAACGAACCAGCCATATATGTAAACAAATCGCAATTGCAGGCTGGCACTTATTTAGGCATTGGTACTGAGAGTTACAACGGCACGATGTCGGGTGTTCTGGTGTTTTTTGTAAATGGAAAAAAGGTGCTTAAAGATTTTCAGATACGTTGCGTGTTTTTAGTGTCGGTAAACTTTAGGCAGTGCTATCCCCATATCGATTTTGTTTTACTTTATTGCTTTAATTGCGTTTAACTGGCACTTAATGGAATTTGCCTTCTTGCCCAATTGAATGTGTCGACTACGTAATACATAGTATTTATTGGGCATAAGGCGTGCTGATAACAATTGACCCCTATGTAGAGGATCGTTGTTTGCTGGTGGCCTCTTATCACCTTATCAAGATCCCACGTTTGCCAATCGAATGGGAGCAGTCTGGGAGCATGGAATGGGAATGTGGGTATGGCTGATAGCCAGGGCTTTTAATCCACAAATTCCGACTGGCTCTACACTGTTTACATTGTGGCGCACAAATAAGTAAGCTGGGGTATATTAGCTAGATAAAACCAGACGGTTTTAGCAACTGGTGTTAAGCAAGTGCAATTAAAGTTTTTAAATACACGCCCACAGCGTGCGCACAAGTGGAATGGCAATAAATAATGGGTTGCTCGTGTTTGATAGTGAACAGATAGCAGTTCTTATTAAAACAGGGTTGGAATATTCACAGCTGCATTTCAATGTTTAAACTAAGGTGTCCCCTTGTTCATACGTAAATATGCGTATTATATAGGGTTCTTCAGACGTTCAAAGTTTAAAAATAAATTGATTTACTATTTATAGAAAATATGACCAACGATTTATACCGTAGTGGTGGAAATGTAGATATGGTATATCATTTAGTACAAATAACTTTCTTTAATATCTATTAAATCTATTAATATCTATTAAAGAAAGTTTATTGTACTGAAAATCTTAAACAAGTCCGATGTGATCCTAAACATAATAATAATTAATTAATCAAGGTGCAAAAAAATCAATACTTTAGTGGCTAATATTGTAGTTATGAAATACCATTTAGTACAATAAACTTTTCTTAAAGATAAAATATGTTTAAAAAATCCAATGAGTTCTTACTTCAAATCGCTTGTATTAAAAAAATCATATTTATACCCTTGCAGAGGGTATTATAATTTTGGTCAGAAGTTTGTAATGCAGTGAAGGAGACGTTTCCGACCCTATAAAGTATATATGTATATCAGGATCAATAGGGGAGTCGATAAAGCCATGTCCGTCTGTTTCAATACCGTTTGCGAGCTCAGTTTAAAAGCTAGCGATCTGAAACTTTCACAGTCGTCCTAAAACATGTGTACGCAGATCAAGTTTGAAGTAGCTCCCATAGGAACAATCGGATATATCTCGCAAGAATTGATGATATTGAATGAATGAATCTTTCCAAATCGTATTTTTTTATGCATACCTTGATCAGGGTAAAAGCGCGTCCCGATCGGACGTCTATATCCTATAGCTCCCATAGGAACAATCGGATATACCTTGCATGAATTGATGATATTTCGCGCAGTGTAAAAGCTATTGACATGTTTCCAAATCGTATTTTTTTATGAATACCTTGATCAGGGTAAAAGCGCATGCCGATCGGAACAATAGAGTTAAATAAGCCCAAATTTTATGTTTTTCAGCATATTTCGCGCAGTGTATAAGCTATTGACATACATTTTTCAAAGTCTTATTTATTTACGCCTACCTTGATCAGGGTAAAATCGCATGCCAATCGGACGTCTATATCTAATAGCTTCCGTAGGAAAAATTGTTAAAGGCTGCGAAAATATCTCTTTTTTTCTGTTTTTATATGACATTTTTGCAGTATAAAAGCTATTGACATGAAACTACGCAAATCTAATTTATTTATGTATAACTTATTCTTTTCGCTACTTTTTCAATTTCAGCATTTTCGGCAAAGTCTGCAAGGGTTTTAAAACTTCGGCTTGCCGAGGTTAGCTTCCTTCCTCGTTTTAAGATAAATTTGTATCATAATATTTAAGCTTTGATCTAAACTAAATTTTGTATGATTCAAGAAAATTCATAGATGTGAGAATTTATTTAATCATTTCCCATCAAGGCATATTTTAAAGAGTAATTAAATTGTAAAATTAAATAAGGGGAACGTTAATAAAGTAAAATACTTACACATGTTATATATTCGTTATTAGATATGGTATGTTTGGGAGAATCGCTGGTTTTTGGACCCTATGTGGTATTTTGCCCTAAATAAATTTGTTTTCTATATTCCAGGTGACCGAAGCGAGTCCGGACCCGGAATGTACGCTCCTCACATATTTGCGGGAGAGACTAAGGCTGTGCGGCACCAAGTTGGGATGCGCGGAGGGTGGTTGTGGCGCCTGCACCGTGATGGTGTCCCGCCTGGACCGCCGTGCCAGTAAAATCCGTCACCTGGCGGTCAACGCCTGCCTCACTCCGGTGTGTGCGATGCACGGATGTGCGGTGACCACGGTGGAGGGCATCGGGAGCACGAAGACCCGGCTGCATCCGGTGCAGGAGCGACTGGCCAAGGCGCACGGCTCGCAGTGCGGCTTCTGTACTCCGGGCATCGTGATGTCCATGTACGCACTCCTCCGAAATGCGGAGCAACCCTCGATGCGGGACTTAGAGGTGGCCTTCCAGGGCAACTTGTGCCGCTGCACTGGCTATCGCCCCATCCTCGAGGGCTACAAGACCTTCACCAAGGAGTTTGCCTGCGGAATGGGTGATAAATGCTGCAAGATTAGTGGCAAAGGATGTGGTTCCGATTCGGAAACCGATGACAAACTCTTCGAGCGCAGCGAGTTCCAGCCCTTGGATCCCAGCCAGGAACCCATCTTCCCACCAGAACTTCAGTTAAGTGACGCCTTCGATTCCCAGAGCCTGGTGTTCAGCTCGGATAGGGTTACTTGGTATCGTCCCACTAACCTGGAACAGCTCCTCCAGCTGAAGGCCCAGCATCCGGCTGCCAGACTGGTCGTGGGCAACACGGAGGTGGGCGTGGAGGTTAAGTTCAAGCACTTCCTCTACCCGCATCTCATCAATCCCACCCAGGTGAAGGAGCTACTGGAGGTGCGGGAATCCCAGGATGGCATTTACTTCGGTGCCGCTGTCAGTTTGATGGAGATCGATGCTCTACTCCGGCAGAGGATCGAGGAGCTACCGGAATCGGAGACCCGTTTGTTCCAGTGCACCGTGGACATGCTGCATTACTTTGCCGGAAAGCAAATTCGCAATGTAGCCTGCTTGGGTGGAAACATTATGACTGGTAGCCCCATCTCCGATATGAATCCTGTGCTCTCGGCAGCAGGAGCTCAACTCGAGGTCGCCAGTTTTGTGGATGGCAAGACTCAAAGGAGGACTGTCCACATGGGAACTGGTTTTTTCACCGGTTACCGAAGGAATGTCATCGAAGCTCACGAGGTCCTCCTGGGTATCCACTTCCGAAAGACGAATCCGGATCGGTATATTGTTGCGTTCAAGCAGGCCAGACGAAGAGATGACGACATAGCCATCGTGAATGCAGCCATAAACGTTCGCTTCGAGGAGAAGTCCAATCTGGTGGCCGAGATTTCGATGGCCTTCGGTGGAATGGCTCCCACCACAGTGCTGGCTCCTCGGACCTCCCAGTTGATGGCTGGTCAGGAGTGGAATCACCAGCTGGTGGAGCGAGTGGCGGAGAGTTTGTGCACGGAGTTACCTTTGGCTGCCTCGGCTCCTGGTGGCATGATCGCCTATCGACGAGCTTTGGTGGTAAGTTTGTTCTTCAAGGCCTATCTGGCCATCACTCTGAAGTTGAGCAAGTCGGGGATTATATCCTCCGATGCCTTGCCGCCTAAGGAGCGAAGTGGTGCCGATACCTTCCACACTCCCGTCCTCAAAAGTGCCCAGCTCTTCGAGCGCGTCTGCAGCGATCAACCCAACTGCGATCCCATTGGCAGACCCCAAGTTCATGCAGCTGCTTTGAAACAGGCGACCGGAGAAGCCATCTATACAGATGATATTCCCCGCATGGATGGCGAAGTCTATCTGGCGTTTGTCCTCAGCACCAAGCCACGAGCCAAGATCACCAAACTGGATGCCACTGAAGCCTTGGCTTTGGAGGGAGTTCATCAGTTCTTTTCGTACAAGGACTTGACCGAGCATGAGAATGAGGTCGGTCCTGTGTTCCATGATGAGCACGTCTTTGCCGCCGGAGAGGTTCATTGCTATGGACAGATTGTGGGCGCCATAGCGGCGGATAATAAGCCATTGGCCCAGCGAGCCTCACGACTGGTGAAAGTGGAGTACCAAGAACTGAGTCCAGTCATAGTGACCATTGAACAGGCAATCGAGCACAAGTCCTACTTTCCGGACTATCCGCGTTTCGTGACCAAGGGCAATGTGGAGGACGCTATGGCCCAGGCGGATCTCACTTTTGAGGGCACTTGTCGAATGGGCGGGCAGGAGCACTTCTATCTGGAGACCCATGCTGCGTTGGCGATTCCTCGGGATAGTGACGAACTAGAGCTCTTCTGCTCAACCCAACATCCTTCGGAGGTCCAGAAACTGGTGGCCCATGTCACCGCACTTCCTGCCCATCGTGTCGTTTGTCGAGCCAAGCGATTGGGAGGTGGTTTTGGCGGCAAGGAGTCCAGGGGCATATCGGTGGCCCTCCCAGTGGCCTTGGCCGCCTACCGAATGGGACGCCCTGTGCGATGCATGTTGGATCGCGACGAGGACATGCTCATTACCGGCACCCGGCATCCCTTCCTGTTCAAATACAAAGTGGGTTTTACCAAGGAGGGTCTAATCACTGCCTGCGACATCGAGTGCTACAACAATGCTGGATGGTCTATGGATCTGTCCTTTTCGGTAAGTAAATTACAGTTTCTCAAGACTATTTTGAGATGGGTTTTTCAAGAGTATCTCGAGGTTAGAAACCACTTAACAATGTGTAATACATACCAGGGAACATATGCCAAAGATGGAACATTTTAATATATATATTCCCTTTTCCTAAAAGACATTACACAAAAGAAGACTCTGTGTTACAAATTTGAATTTATTCAACTTAGAGCGCATATTTATTGGAGACCCTTACATCGTATATTGACTATCATATTATGTGATTATACTCTTTTCGATATACAAATGAGATGTATCTATTTAGGTTCTGGAGCGAGCAATGTACCACTTTGAGAACTGCTACCGGATTCCCAACGTGCGTGTGGGTGGATGGGTGTGCAAGACGAACCTGCCCTCGAATACGGCCTTCCGTGGCTTCGGAGGTCCTCAGGGGATGTACGCTGGAGAGCACATTATCCGGGACGTGGCCCGGATCGTGGGCCGCGAGGTGGTGGATGTGATGCGGTTGAACTTCTACAAAACAGGAGACTACACACACTACCACCAGAAACTGGAGCACTTCCCAATCGAGCGGTGTCTGGAGGATTGTCTCAAGCAGTCGAGATACAACGAAAAGCGTTTGGAGATCGCCCGATTCAACCGGGAGAATCGCTGGAGGAAGCGCGGAATGGCGGTGGTGCCGACGAAATATGGAATTGCGTTCGGGGTAATGCACTTGAATCAAGCGGGCTCACTGATCAACATCTATGGAGATGGATCCGTGCTTCTGTCCCACGGAGGCGTTGAGATTGGTCAAGGACTAAACACCAAGATGATCCAGTGTGCCGCCAGGGCCTTGGGCATTCCGCCGGAATTGATTCACATCTCGGAGACGGCCACGGACAAGGTGCCCAATACCTCGCCCACGGCGGCGAGTGTGGGATCCGATATAAACGGCATGGCCGTTCTGGATGCCTGTGATAAGTTGAACAAGCGACTGGCGCCCATCAAGGAGGCGTTGCCCGGCGGAACGTGGAAGGAGTGGATCAACAAGGCCTATTTCGATCGGGTCAGTCTCTCGGCCACCGGATTCTATGCCATGCCGGGAATCGGCTATCACCCGGAGACGAATCCCAATGCCCGCACCTACAGCTACTACACGAATGGAGTGGGGGTCAGTGTGGTGGAGATCGACTGCCTGACTGGCGACCATCAGGTGCTCAGCACGGACATCGTCATGGACATCGGTTCGAGTCTGAATCCGGCCATTGACATTGGTCAGATTGAAGGAGCATTCATGCAGGGCTACGGCCTGTTTACTCTGGAGGAGCTCATGTACTCACCGCAGGGAATGCTGTATTCCAGAGGCCCCGGCATGTACAAGCTGCCAGGATTTGCCGATATCCCCGGAGAGTTCAATGTCAGCCTACTGACAGGTGCCCCCAATCCACGTGCTGTCTACTCCTCCAAGGTTAGTTGATTCAAATTTGTGTATTTAGTTTTAATCAAATTTTACAAATTGCTTAATTTGTGGGTTAACCAGTGACACCTCTTAAAGACTTACATTTTCTTGGGAAAGTCATTGGAAATACAATTTTTTGCTTCAATAAAATATACGGTCTATGGTCTATACTTAAATGATAAAAAATGCTTTGAGTGCCTTTCGGAATGCATTATCTTTTTACTAATTTATTATTTAGTATTTTTTTCTTTACTTACGACGTAGTGCTACGAGACTAAATTATGTTGAATCCACTTTTCATTATATTTCATTTATAATCCTATTCTACTACTTTATAACTTAACATTTTGTTTTCTTTATAATTTCTACAACAGGCTGTAGGCGAGCCCCCGCTCTTTATAGGATCATCAGCATTCTTTGCCATCAAGGAGGCCATTGCAGCTGCTCGCCAGGATCAGGGTTTGAGAGGAGACTTCCCGCTGGAGGCGCCTTCCACATCGGCCCGCATTCGAATCGCCTGCCAGGATAAGTTCACAGACTTGGTATGTGTTCTTCATAAAATTTTAGTTATTTTAAACGCATGAAAAAAACAAAATTTCTTTACAGCTTGATATACCCGAGGCAGGAACCTTCACCCCATGGAACATTGTGCCTTAGAAATAGTTTTTATATTTTTATCAGACGTTTTTAATTGTTTTTGTACATAATTAACTTGAATAAATGTTCGAAAAATATTGTTTTAAATATAACTAGTAGTTTTGACATAAAAAGTTAAATATTTGATCAAAGCAATTGTTTTTGCAAACGAGTTGTTGAAAAATATTTGAAATCTCCTCTCTCTCGTATTGATTATTCATTCAAATGTAGTCGTTTGTAATAAAGATCAGCACAAAGGCCTTTATAATCATTCACTTAAAAAATGTTTAAACAGTGTGTCGTCCACAAATATAAATCAGAGAACAGCCTACTTGTGTACTCAACTTTCTTTGCAGTTAACTATTGGGAAAGCTCTTAGTCACTAGTTATTTCAAGCATATATTAATCAAACATGACTTAAATATAAATATGATATATTTTATGAGTACGTTACGGACCTCCAGCTTGTAGGTAGGGCGGTAAATTTTCGATTTCCGCACGAATTGTTACCCCGAAATAAAAGCGCATGTAGAAAACGCTTTAAATTGAGTCTCAGGTTATTCGAGACGAGATCTTCACGAGCATTTCATTCGGCAATCGTACGTTTGCGAGCGTAGACATCAGATATGGGACCGCTATATTTCTGGCTTCTTGAGATTGTGTTCATTTCAGCATCGTCATTGATTGTATCCGCCAGTCCGCAAAGCTATTATTACAATGGATACGCACAGAGCGTGCCTTGGACTGGAGTAGTTCCCTCGTATGTTTCGATTGACAATTTCGGAAATTGCCAGGCCTACGATCGTCCATTGGTTGGAAGATGTGTGAGGTACGTGGATTGCATCAGTGCGCTGCAATCGGTGCCCCAAGTGACGCCTTTACTCTGCCCATCGTCGTGGCCCAATCAGCTGGTGTGCTGTCCCCATGGCGGATACTTGATTCCGGAACCCAGGATTTCCAAGAGTGAGGAAGGTGTGTATACATAGAAACCCATGGTCTATACAGACATCAAGAGATCTTCTCTTTGCCAGCCTGCTCGAATGCTTATCCAAGAGCTCGTCATAAGCGCCGTCGACGTCGGCGGAATACTACCTCGAATAAAGATCAAGTGGAACTAGTTGAGCCCATTATCCAAAAGCGCAATCAGAGCGATAATTTCCTGGTGGGAGGCAGACTCACAATGGATAACGAGCATCCCTATATGGTAAGCCACTAATATTTAACTAGAATATATCATTAAGCTTTAGACTAAAAGTTAAGCTTATATCTTAAAATGAATTAACTTCCTTCCCATAGTTAAATAGGCTTTCAAAAATACCAATTTTGATACATATTTGTTAGTCTTTGGAATATTCAAAAATATCACTGTGCACTACAACTTTTAAATTGTACCTAATAAACCAATTTGTTGTTTTATATGTATTAAATGTCTTCACAATACTTCTGTTTGATTTATTTGCTTACAGTGTGCCCTCGGTTGCCCTTCCCGCACAAACAGATGGATTCATTCGCACGGTTCCAGCAAGCGCAGGTATACGTTCAACTGTGGCTGCGTGATGATTTCGCCGCGGTTCGCTATAACGGCAGCACACTGTGCCAACATCGGCGGGTAGGGCAACAAAAACTTGACGGCGCGAATACTCGAAATGCTAATGAGTTGTTTCTTAAAAACCAACAGGGAATCCCCGTCAGTGGCGTTGATAGGTGGCGTTGAATTGAACAGCGCTCGCGGGCAGTTAATTGAAATCCTACAGATAACCAAGCATCCGAACTTCGATGAGGAGACCCTTACTAACGACTTGGCAGTGGTCAAATTGGCCAGGAGATCCCACAAGCCGGTGGCCTGCCTGTGGAACCAGGAATCCCTACCGGAGAGTCCTCTGACTGCCCTGGGATATGGACAAACCAAGTTTGGTTAGTGCGGAAAAAATCATTTAATCTGGTTTAACTTTAAAAACTATTTTTCCATTCACTTATTATTTTTGATTAATCATTAAATATTTCACAGCTGGCCCTCACTCCAATGAATTGTTGCAAATATTGCTATACCCTTTGAATAACCAACAATGTCAGAGGTACTTGCAAAATGATGACAAGCTAGTTCATGGTTTGGGATCGGGACAGCTATGCGCGGGAGATTACTCCGGCAAAATGGACACTTGTCAGGTGAGTTAATAATAACCTAACTACATTAAAATTAATACAAAGTGAATACATTTTATTTTAACGTATGGAACATTTTTTTTTAAATTCTCCATTCATTTGTTTAAATTTGAAAGTTTTTTTTCATCAAAATACATTTTAAAAAATACATTTTTGTATGGAAAAGTGTGTTTGTCAAAGTTTAAACTCTATGAGTTAAGGAAAATTGGATTTAGTTTCATAAAAATGTTTTTAAGGGGGTATATACCTTTTTTTGTCGAAAAAAATAGGAAAGTTTGGATTTTTTATGTATGTAACTATTGTTTTTATTAAATGAATGATTATATTTTCCGAAAGTTTAGATTGTTAACAATGTTTATGCAAAAAATTTTGAAAAAATATTTAATAGTTTTTAAGGTGTGGCTGTTTCTCTTAAACGCCTTTTTTTTAAGAGAATTGCGGTGATAATTCCCCAGGACGAACGGGTCAACTGAAGCCGACCAAATAAAAATATTTCATTAGTTTAAAGTAGTATTGAACGAACGTTTTAAAATTTTTTTTTTGTGCATACGGGAACGCTTAATGCAAAAAATGACGTTTTTGGACGCTGATAAAAATACTTTTCAAATACTGATAAAATTCATTACAAACATTTAAAAAAAAATTTGAAGAAAATCGGTTCAGTAGTTTTTCGCCAATCCATATCACCGCAAATTCATTTTTCAAAAAACACCATTTCGAGATATTCGTGTTTAAAGTTTCAAGTTTGGGTTTGGGCGGGGACGAGGTACGCGGCTGGGAGCGCTGTAACTTTTTTTCTACTGCTCAAATCTCTATGAAAATTTGGAGAAATGTTCTCAAGAAGTTGTTCTTTAAGATAAAGCAAAAAATCGATTTTTTGAAAATGAAAAAGGTATATACCCCCTTCAGCTTCAAAGAAAATTTAAATGTTAACCCTTAACCGCTCTTTCAATAGGGCGATTCTGGAGGACCATTGCTGCTCCACCAACATATGCGGCATCAGCACCACCGGATTCCGTATGTGGTGGGCTTAACTTCCTTCGGAGGAGCTTGTGCCACTGGAGAGCCCGGAGTTTATGTGCGAATATCCCACTATCTTCAGTGGATAGAACAACAGGTGTGGCCATGACTCTTGTACTCAAAACTTTTTAACTTCATCAAAATATTATCAGAATACAATATGTATGTATGACTCACAAATAAAATATTTTTAATTTTCTAGAACTCATATTTAGTAAAATAAATTAGTAGTGAAGCATTAATGCTGCTTGAAGGCAATCTTCTCAATCCAATCCAAGTAGCTGTACAGTCTGGTGTAAACGCCAGGGGCATTGGGAGCCGCACAGAACTTCCCGAACGAGGTGATGCCCACCACGAACGCCACGCAGTTGTGTTCCGGCAGGACGGCATGGATGGGACCGCCGGAGTCACCCTGGCAAGTGTCCCTGCCGCCCGGCAAATATCCGGCACAGAACTGACCCTCGATGATTCCCCGCGGCAGGCGTCGCTCCTTGCGATAGATCTGCTTGCAGCGCATCTGGGGAATAACGTCCAGGTCCACCTGCCGCAGGACATTCGACTTGGCGCCCAGGAACTCGGTGCGTCCCCAGCCGGCGGCCACGACGGTGGGGATCTGGAGCTCGGGCAGTTGCCACAGGCAGGCGGGACGCACCTCATCCGACAGCCTGGCCCGCTTGGTCAACTTGAGCAGCGCAATGTCGTGGTAGTAGGCCGAGGATCGGTACTTGGGATGCAGCACGATGATCAGGATCTTGATGTCCTGCTGGGCGGAGCTGGTTTCGTTTAACTGGCGGACTCCCAGTCGAACCATGTCCGGTGGCTTGCTGTTGGATCGAAGGATATACCGATTAAGTTGCGTCTCAATTTGTACTATCACTTACCTACCCGAGGTGGCACAATGGGCGGCGGTCAGGACATACAGCTCACTGACCAGGGCTCCCCCGCAGCCCCACTTTATGTCCAGGCTGTCCTTAATGTCCTTGCTCCCGCTTCCCTGTGTCCATCCCAAGGCCGCCATGTGCGGGAATAGTCCGTGCCGAGTGGGAGTGCCACCCACAATCAAGGGCACACTGGGCACGCAGTGCTTCCCGGAGAATGTGCGTCCGGTATCCGCCAACTGAAGCCTTCGGGTGGCAGCATTGTACTCCTGACATTCTGTGGAGATCTCTGGTCAATTAACTTACATTTACTTTACTTATTTGAATTTAAAAGCTACAATAACACATTTAAAAAAATTATTTAATTATTTATTATTATTTTATTTATTTAAAAATTATTTTAAATTTATTTAAAAATGACCTTTTGTTAAATATAAAAATAAAAATTGAAACCTTGGCTTGTTTTCTTATTACTCTAGAATAAGTTTTAACTATCTTGAAGCTTGCGAATTCATACATCTTTTGGACAAGAGTAAAAGTTTTTTTGAAAACCTTTATTGAATAAATATACTATCACAAATTTGTACAGATTTGCCAGCAGTTTTGAGTAACTAGTCCCCTGCACGAAAGAATCGCGTTTAAAGCTTAAAATTTAGTGAACAGGTTGAAAGGTCATTCAAAGTTTGATTATTTCTGAAAATTTGACTCACTGGTGGCACTGATTCGCTGGGCCAGGACATGTTTGTCTGCCAAAGGACAACAAATGACAGGCACATTGTTCCGATGGGTGCAGATGTCGATGCGGGTGCCATGCACTCGATATTCGCGGATCACGTGGAGGCACTGATAGGCCAGGATGCAGTAGCCACTCCGCCCATCGAAGCTCCGCCGGCAAAAGGCGCCCTCTTGGAGTCCTTCGGAGGCAGGAGTCCTTAAATCAGCGTCGTAACCGAACTTCAAAAAGCTGTCCTCCTCTTCAGACTCCTGGTCATCTACATCCTCGCTGGTGGGCGCCACCGGCTGCTCTCCCCAAAGTTCTGGGATTGTGTATTTGGTGGTCTGGTAGTTAATTATTTCAATAGCATCGAGAGCTATTGAAAGTTTAATGTGGGTTAGTGGTATAAATAATTTTTATTCCTTAATATTTACCCGCAAGGTTCTGAGGATGCAGAAGCAAATGCAAACATGTCAATTGAAGATTGATGATAAGAGTCCAAATTATTATCATTCTATTGGTAATTTCTGGGGTTTCATTATTTGCTGTCTAGCGTACATTCCAAATTAAAATCTGGAACGATTGTAAAGACAAAAAATATTAATATATTGTTAAATTTATCTAGAAAAGTTAAAAATGATACAAAAATTATATATTTTAATTTTGGAAACCAAGTAGCATTTAAAAAACTAATAAATAAACCACTTTGAACATTACATAGAATAACAAACTTGCTGTTTTCTATTTAAAATGAAAACCTTTGATAAATGAAGTTCTTGAAACGACAATTTCTTTCCAATATTTCCGATAGTAATCCATTTTGTAAATCTACTTGAATTGATTGCTTATCTTCAAAATGGAATGTGGTGCGTCGGCCTCAATATTTTAGCCACCACTGTTTCCAAAACAAACCCTTGCCTGTCTGTGTTGATTTTTTGTTTAATGTATTTTTATTAATTAATGCGGGCGCTCAATTATAAATTCGGCTGAATTTCAATAAAACTGTTTGCCTGCGCTGTTGTTTCTTTTCGCGCATTGTGGATTGGAAGATCCCAGTCGGATTAAATCGGTCAATCGAGCCAGACCTACAGATGGCGGATTTGAAGAGACTTTGTATTTGGATAGCATTTTGTTTGCTGCTGTGCGGATTTCATGTGAAGGGACAGAGGGAGTGGGGATTTCCCAATCCGAATCCATACCCAGAGCCGGATCCAAGCAGGTGGGACTACAACAACTACAATAGCAACGGCTACAATGGTCAGTGGCAACCGCCGGTTGACTTTAACAACTACGGCTATTATAGACCCCCGCCCCCACCGCCTCCTCCCTGCGGAAGGCCACCACCGGGACCACCGCCGCCGGGTCCACCTCCTCCTGGTCCGCCGCCCGGCTGTCCCGGCGGTCCAGCCCCAGGGACGCCACCTCACTGGGAGAACCACCGATGGAGACCCCGTCGTCCGCCGCCAGATCACCACCGTAACTTCCACAACATATTCCTGCACACCGAGCGCAAAGTGGATGGGGAGAACTACAACAAGACCGCGGAGATGGAGGACTTGCACGACGACTTCAATGGTCGATCGATTGTAGCACCCGGGCAGTACCCGCATATGGTCAGTATCGTATGGTGCTGCACTCCAAACAAAAATCAACAATCAACAAAAAGATAAAAAAGTTAAATCACACTAAACCGGAATGGGGGAAACGCCAAAGTACCCGCGTTCACGACACAAACACGACTAAAACCGATGATAGCTGACTTGCAAATCGCAGCCCTACACCATATGATAACAGTTATTAAGCCCCCACCTAATCCTCTCTTTTCCGATCTCAGGCCGCTCTGGGATTCCGGAATGAGAACCACGAGATCGACTACAAATGCGGCGGCAGCCTGATCAGTGAGTACTTTGTGCTAACGGCCGCTCATTGCTTGACCAGCCACGGGTAAGATTTTTCGATTTCACTCAGAACTTAGTGAGTCTCTTTTAGTTACTTGAGTGATTCTACGGAGACGGGAGAAAAATAGCCTTGAAAGACAGACTTTTAATTAATAGCAATGATTTCGATATTATTCTAGGGATAGAATCGATATGTTTACTATCAATTCTTTAGTTCATAAAAATTTAATTTATTTTTAAATAAACATCCTGAATATTTTTATATCTGTTTGATTAACAATATTTTAATTCAGAAAAATATTTCATCGATTTCAACAATATTAAAAGATTACATTACATTACATTTCGATTTCTATACCTATATTACTTAAAATAATGAAGCTATGTCGATTTTAAGAAGCATTTTGCCATCGTTTCTATGGCAATATGATATTGTTGTCAGATTTCGATAAAACTAAAAGCGTAATTATTATATAGTATAAAATTAATATATCTCAAAGGAATATTTTGAGAAATATAAAAAAAGCAAATTACATTTTTTTTAAATTTGTATTTTTTTTTAATTTTCTGATTTTCTTATGGGAGCTACATATGTAATATAAATGTCCGATTTTAATTTAATTAAATTCCGAAGTATTTAAATATTACCAAATCTAAAACCACAACAAAAATTTTAAACAACAAAGGTTTACTTTCTTACATTTTTTTCCGATTGTTCCTATGGGAGCTATATGATATAGTCGCCCGATCCGGCTCGTTCCGACATATACCATTCTACCTGCAATAGAAAGACAACTTTTGGGAAAGTTTCAAGCAGATAGCTTTAAAACTGAGAGACATGGCTAGATCGACTCTTTTGGTGATGCTGATCAAGAATATATATACTTTATAGGGTCGGAAATGTCTCCTTCACTGCGTTGCAAACTTTTGACTGAAATTATAATACCCTCTGCGAGGGTATAATTATTGAGTAATACTAAGTTAATAAAGCATTGTTTCTTTATAAGATGATTATTATTAATAATGGGTACTATTAATTAAAAATAGATAAAAGTTATATAAATTTGTCTCTGCCCAAATAATATATTTTCTTTATTTGAACTAGCACTGCTCCCGACGTGGTAAAAATCGGAGACATTAAGCTGAAGGAATGGGAAAACGACGTGGCCCCCCAAAGACGACGAGTGGAGAAAATTTACCTACATCCTTTATACAACTCAACCCTTAACTACCATGACATTGGACTCATCCAGTTAAATCGACCGGTGGAATACACTTGGTTCGTGAAACCAGTCCGTCTGTGGCCTAAAAATGAGATCCCTTACGGGAAACTTCATACGATGGGATATGGATCGACAGGATTCGCCCAGCCCCAAACCAATATCCTCACGGAACTTGATCTGTCGATGGTGCCTACAGAACAGTGCAATACCAGTCTGCCCGCCGATGAGGGATCTCCCCAGGGAATACTTTCCAGTCAGATATGCGCCCATGACTATGAGAAGAATCGCGATACATGTCAGGTGAGGGGCACTATTTATGATTTCTTTTTCAAGTTCGAAAAGATTTAAACTCTAATTTACACAATATTTTACCAAACACATTTGTCTCTGAAAAATTTATGCAGTTCTAGAAAAAGTTTAAAAAGAAAATTAATTAATGTCAATAACTAAGTCCAATTTAAAGCCCTCTTTGGGATAAATTCCATTGTTTTTTTATTTACGGCTGCGTTTTTATTGCAAATCTTAATTTGATAAATTTTTGACATTTTTAAGGACTGTAACTTAATCGAATATAAATCTTTCAGGGCGATTCAGGAGGACCACTTCAGTTGAACTTGGAACGTCGCCGCCGCCGACACAGAAGTCGAAGACATTACCGCTACTACCTCGTAGGCATCACTTCTTATGGAGCTTATTGTCGCAGCGAATTCCCAGGTTGATTACTATTGCAGTATATACAACATAAATACCAAATATTTAATTTTTCAGGTGTTTACACTCGCGTTTCTTCCTACATTGACTGGATTGCTTCTATAGTGTGGCCTAATTACTATAGCGAGTTTACTAATCAATAAAAATTTATAGTTTGAAATAAAGTTTTGCAATTGAAAAATGTGTCGTTTCATAAATTTGTTTATTTAAATATATTTAAATAAATTCAGATAAGATTTAATATCATAACAATTCCTTGCAAATTTATTAGATATGTTTTTTTAAGTTGTAGATACTTACATTTAAATATTCCAACAAATATTTTTACAATCTTATTGTACACAAGTTGAGTTTGGATCAGTAATTGTGCAATATAGAAAGATTTGTATCAATATTGTCAAGAAATCTGAAAGAAAACGACATTTAAACCGACTTCATGTTAACATTTGTGCAAATCGAATTCGGCCTGATAAATGTATTTGTTATTTTTTCTGTTGTTCAGAATTAATGGTTGCCAGGCACCGCCAGGCAGACGTTATTTATTAAATCAATTATTTTGTGTAAGAAAACTAATGAAATGGTAGGAAAAAGCAAAAAGAAGCGCAATAGCAAGGATTCTACATCTAGTAATGCTGGAAGTGGTGAAGGCGAGGAAAAAAAGAAGAAAGAAGGCGGTAAGAAGAAAGGGGGCGTGGGAAAGTCCATTGGCTGTGATATTTTCAATGACGCTGCCATGGAAAATGCCTATTATGTGTGCCACAATGTGCAGGTGAGTTATAATTTTTGGGTTTACTTTAATATCGTGATATTCACTGAATTACCTTTTAGGACGTTCTTAAATCAAGAGGATTCGCCTGGCCAGATGGACAGAAAAAGAAAAAGAAGGGAAAGCGCTAAGAGTTAAGTTTCATTAACTAATCATCATCAACTAATTTTATGGAAACAAAAGTTATTTAAGCTTTCCCCTTTGCCTGCAGAAATAAGAGTACGTACTACGTATATATACGTGCTCATATTTATTTTTATGAAACCAAAACAAGACATCATCGATCAAAAACAAACAATTCCAAAAACGCAGCCTGCCCAAAGTTAAACGTCAGTGGCAAACACTTCTAGAACAAAGCCCGAACACATTTTTCGAGTTCGGCGTGTGAAAAAATATAGGAAAGCAAAATTTGAGTCATTTCGTATAATGTGCGAAGGCTGCACCATATAAATCGGAGCAACGTACGCGCGATTTCAGTCTAAAATCAGCATTAGTGGCTGCAGCATCGAAAAATAATTGGAGATTTGAAAATACAAAACATACCCAGAAATAATGGTAAAGGCACCGGCAATCGGCATCGATCTGGGCACCACCTACTCCTGCGTGGGAGTTTGGCAGAACAGCAAGGTGGAGATCATTGCCAATGACCAGGGCAATCGCACCACGCCCTCCTATGTGGCATTCAACGACACGGAGCGCCTAATTGGGGATGCGGCCAAGAACCAGGTGAGTCAGCCTCCCCATTGTGATTGTCCAAATACGTACGATCGGGCGCCGATATGGCCAGGTGCGAATAGCCCCCGTAATGCTGTGATGCGAGTGATTTAATTGCATTGGATTGATGTATACATAAATAATTGCGAGGGATGCGGAAAGTGTGGGTGGCTAAGCGTATTTCAACACTTGCGTGGTTCAATTTATTTATGTAGATGAATTTCTCAAAATAATTTTCACACCGTTCTGAGACCCTAAATTGAGGACTCAACCAATTTTAATTTAAATTGTATTTTTATGTTATTTTGTATTATATTTAACTTTGAATATTTAAATATCTTGATCAAAATTTGAACTGGTAATGAACTTTAAATGTGGATTTACAAAATACGAATTAAATATCATTAAATTAAGTGCAGTTTAATAAAAATGTTTGCGAAGCCCTTAATGATACTAATCACTTAAACAAGAAGTATTTAAAATAAATATATACCCTTGCAGAATATTCTGTAAATTATATTCTCCAAAATTATTTATATGATGCTTTCTTAATAATGATAAAAAATCCCAAACTTCCTAACTTTAAAAACACCAAAGTTATGGCATTTCCAATCGTTCAGTTATATTATAAAATTTAGTAGGTCGGTTGAAAATCCCAACTTTCTAACTTTACAAACACCAAAGTGATGGCATTTCTGATCAATCAGTTATATGGCTGCTATAGGATATAGTTGCGACTTATATACTGCGTGCAAAGGAACGAAGGGTGTGAGCAATGTTTCAATTCGATATCTTTAAAACTGAGAGAATAGTTCGGGTAGAAACAAACAGACGGACAGACGGTATTATAATTTCAGTCAAAAGTTTGCAGCGCCGTGAAGGAAACATTTCCAACCTTATAAAGTATATATGTATATTATTAATCAGCATCACCTGGAGAGTCGATCTGTCTGTCCGCCTGTCCGTCCGTCTGTCCGTCCGTCCGTCCGTTTCTACGCAAACTATTCCCTCAGTTTTAAAGCTATCTGCTTGAAACTTTTCTAAAAGTTGTATTTCTATTGCAGGAAGTATATAAGTCAGAAAGAGCCGGATCGGACGACTATATCATATAGCTCCCATAGGAACAATCGGAAAAAAAATTCAAAAAAATTATAACTTTGTTGTTTTTAATTTTTTTTTGTTCTTTCGGACTTGGTAATATTTAAATATTATGGAATTACGGTTTTAATTAAATAAAAATCGGACAACAATAGCATATAGCTGCCATAGAAACGATGGCAAAATGCAGCGCAAAACCGACATAGATTCATTGTTTTTAGTAATTTAGGCATTAAAATCGAAATGTTGTAGATTTGTAATAACTGCAAGGGTATATAAACTTCTTGTTATACTTGGAAACACCTTTTACTTAACTCATAATCGATAATTAAATGTTACTCATCCTGATAGTAGTTACTTTTATGGCAAGTGCACTTACTAATGCCTGGATTCCTGTTTGTCCTAGGTCGCCATGAATGCCAAGAACACGGTGTTCGACGCCAAGCGCCTGATTGGGCGCAAGTTCGACGACCAGAAAATCCAGGAGGACCTGAAGCTCTGGCCCTTCAGGGTCATCAACGACGGCGGCAAGCCGAAGATCGAGGTGGAGTTCAAGGGGGAGCGCAAGCGATTTGCGCCCGAGGAGGTCAGTTCGATGGTTCTGGCCAAGATGCGCGAGATCGCCGAGGTGTTTTTGGGCGGTAAGGTGAAGGACGCTGTGATCACGGTGCCGGCTTATTTCAACGATAGCCAGCGACAGGCGACCAAGGATGCGGGATCCATTGCCGGGCTGAATGTCCTGAGGATCATCAATGAGCCCACTGCGGCTGCTTTGGCCTACGGATTGGATAAGAATCTCAAGGGGGAGCGAAATGTGCTGATCTTTGATCTGGGTGGCGGCACCTTCGATGTCTCCATTCTGACCATCGATGAGGGTTCCCTGTTCGAGGTGAAGGCCACCGCTGGAGACACCCACTTGGGCGGCGAGGACTTCGACAACCGGTTGGTCAACCACTTTGCGGAGGAGTTCAAGCGGAAGCACAAGGCGGATATCAGGGGAAATGCCCGTGCTCTGCGACGACTGAGGACGGCTTGCGAAAGGGCCAAGCGAACGTTGTCCTCCAGCACGGAAGCATCCTTGGAGATTGATGCCTTGCACGAGGGAATCGACTTCTACTCGAAGATTTCGAGGGCCCGCTTCGAGGAGCTGAACATGGACCTCTTCCGGTCCACCATGCAGCCGGTGGAACGGGCCTTGACCGATGCCAAGATGGACAAGAAGGCCATCCACGATGTGGTGCTGGTGGGCGGTTCCACGCGCATTCCCAAGATCCAGAAACTCCTCCAGGATTTGTTCGGTGGCAAGCAGCTCAATCTGTCCATTAATCCCGATGAGGCCGTGGCCTACGGAGCCGCTGTCCAGGCTGCCATTCTCACCGGCGTGGGAAGTTCCCAGATCCAGGATCTGCTCCTGGTGGACGTGGCTCCCCTGTCGCTGGGAATCGAGACTTCTGGCGGTGTGATGACCAAGTTGGTGGAACGCAATGCCCGGATTCCCTGCAAGCAGCAGCAGATCTTCACCACCTACAGTGACAACCAGAATGCGGTGACCATTCAGGTTTACGAAGGCGAACGGGCAATGACCAAGGATAACAACCTGCTGGGAACCTTCAATCTCACCGGCATTCCGCCGGCTCCCCGAGGAGTGCCCGAGATCGAGGTGGCCTTCGACCTGAATGCCGACGGCATCCTGAATGTGAATGCCAAGGATAACAGCACGGGAAAGTCGGAGAAGATCACCATCACAAACGACAAGGGAAGGCTATCCAAGTCGGAAATCGATCGCATGCTCTCGGAGGCGGAGAAGTACAAGGTGGAGGACGATCGACAGCGGGAGCGGGTTCAGTCCAGGAACAGCCTCGAGGGATACATCTACGGCTGTCGCCAGGCCGTCGAGGAGGCTCCATCCGGAGTCCTTTCTGAGGCCGATCGCTCCAAGGTGCGCGAGAAGTGCGCCTCCGAAACATCCTGGCTGGACAAGAATTCCCTTGCTGAGAAGGAGGAGTATGAGCACCATCTCAAGGAGTGCCAGCGCATCTGCAGTCCCATAATGACGAAACTCCATGCCAAACCCAAGGGCAAACAGTCGGCGGGCAATGGTGCGGGTCCCAACGTGGAGGAGGTGGACTAGTTGCCCCTAATCTTATTTATTCAGCCATTAAATATGCATTATTAATACCTTGTTTCGAAAATAAATTAAACTGCACCTTGTGTATTTGGTGATAGTCAAGTGGTATCGCCGTATATGGAATGGGAGGAATTCAGTCAAAACAAGAGAGAACGCTATAATCGAGTGCCTCGACTATTAGATACCCGTTACTCAGCTAAACCACTTAATATAAATATGCCTTCTTGTATTTTTTTTTTTTAACATAATGTGAATTATAGTGACCACTGGAAAAAAGGACAAAAAGTTCAAATTATCAATTTTAATTCGGCGATCTCTTAGTGCTGGCAGCTTTACAGCACGAGCATCAGCACCAGCGCTGCTTTAGCGGAGGCAGCTTTTGTCCTGCACCAGCAGCTGTGTTGATGTTTATGTTTTTGAGTGCAATAAATTGACTAGAAATATTAAACATACATACTTATATTGGCTAAATACATACATTCTTAAATAGTATTATGTATATTAAAGTCTAAATGTTTGCACAACACGAGTAACGGGTATAGCTAATAGCTTTCTTTGAAAGGAGTTATCTTTGCCGGGCAATTGCAACTGTGTACAATGTAAATACATACATATGTATATGCTTACATACATGCACACATACGCCATTGTTTGACTCAAACCTCCAATTTGGCTAACTAGATTTGATTTGCATAGTTCTTGGGATATAGTTCGGTATTGACAAATAAAAACCATCGCAATTTCCTTTAATAGAAATCCTTATCGAGAATTAACGTTGACTCTGTTGAGCACCTTGGCCAGCTGTTCCAAAGTCATCCGTTAGATGGCGCCATGAAAGGCGGAAATGTAGGCGCTAGCCATGCTTAAGCGTTTAATGTGTTTTTGGGCGTTAGAGTGGGCGTGGAAAACTTTTATTAGGCCAATCGATATTTATTGACGAAACAAATTCATATCAATTAAAATTTTCATAATATCATCAAAACTGTGGCCACAGCTTGTGGCTTGTGGGCGTCTGAGGGGGCGTGGCACCATTTTGAAACAAACTTACGCTGCCTAGGAACTCCTAAAATCTACATGCAAGATGCCAATCTTCTAGCTTTTAAAGTTTCCGAGATCTCAGCGTTCATACGGACAGACAGACGGACAGACAGACGGACAGACAGACGGACAAACAGACGGACATGGCTAGATCGACTCGGCTAGTGATCCTGAACAAGGATATATATACTTTATAGGGTAACGGGTATAATTAAGCCAAACTTTTCAAAAATAGTAACCTTTCTCAATCGTAAGTAATTGTAAATTAAAATTGTAAACTGAAAACTTGCCTTTGAAAACAATAACAAATAGATTGAATGAACAATAGCAAATATTCTTCGGCTTAAGTTTATATAGTAAAACGAGGACAAAAGCTAACATCGGCAAGCCGAAGTTTTAATACCCTTGCAGACTTTGCCGAAATTGCTAAAATTTAAAAAGTAGCGAAAAGAATAAGCTTTTTTACTGCAAAAATGTCATATAAAAATAGAAAAAAAACGGTATTTTTCCGCCGCCTTTAACAATTTTTCCTACGGAACTTATAAGATATAGACGTCCTGTCGTCAAGCGCCTTTGCCCTGATCAAGGTATGCGTAAATAAATAAGACTTGGAAAAATTTATGTCAATAGCTTATACACTGCGCGAAATATTCTGAAAAACATCAAATTTGGACCGATTTCACCCTATTGTTCCTATTGGAGGATATAGACGTCCGATCGGCACGCGCTTTTACCTTGATCAAGGAATGCATAAAAAAATACGATTTGAAAAGATTCATGTCAATAGCTTATATACTGCGCGAAATATATGGAACATCATTCAATTTTACCCGATTTCACTCTATTGTTCCAATGGGAGCTATAGTATATTGACGTCCAATCGGCACGCGCTTTTTTCCTGATCAAGGTATACATAAAACAAGAAAGGAAAGCTAACTTCGGGCGGAGCCGAAGTTGATATACCCTTGCAGAATATTCTGTAAATATTATTCTCCAAAATTGTTCATATGATGCATTCTTAATACTCATAAAAAATCCAAACTTCCTAAGTTTAAAAACCCTATAGTTATGGAATTTTCAATCGTTCCGTTATATGGCAGCTATAGGATATAGTCGGCCGATCCTTATGAAATTTGGTAGGTCGGATTGATTGGCCAAATATAAAACCCATAGAAAATCCCAACTTCCTAACTTTACAAACACCCAAGTAATGTCATTTCCGATCAATCAGTTATATGGCAGCTATAGGATATAGTCGGCCGATCCCGGCCGTTCCGACTTATATACTGCGTGCAAAGGAAAGAAGGGTGTGTGCAAAGTTTCAATTCGATATCTTTAAAACTGAGAGACTAGTTTGCGTAGAAACAGACAGACGGACAGACAGACGGACATGGCTATATCAACTCAGGAGGTGATCCTGATCAAGAATATATACTTTCTAGGGTCTCCTTCACTGCGTTGCACACTTTTGACCAAAATTATAATACCCTCTGCAAGGGTATAAAAATACGATTTAAAAAATTGATGTCAATAGCTTTTACACTGCGCGAAATATCATCAGTTCTTGCAAGATATATCCGATTGTTTCTATGGGAGCTATGGGATATAGACGTCCGATCGGATCTGCGTACACATGTTTTAGGACGACTGTGAAAGTTTCAGATCGCTAGCTTTTAAACTGAACTCGCAAACGGTATTGAAACAGACGGACAGACGGACATGGCTATATCGACTCCCCTATTGATCCTGATCAAGAATGTATATACTTTATAGGGTCGGAAACGTCTCCTTCACTGCGTTACAAACTTCTGACCAAAATTATAATACCCTCTGCAAGGGTATAAAAATAGGGGTATAATTTCGTAGAAATATTTAATCTTCTAACAAAACATTTTCATAATTAAACTTATTGGGCCAGTGTTCTGGGCAAAAAGTGTGAGTATATCAAAAAAAATATTAGCAGCTGTGCAATGTTTTGCGAAATTGGGAACTAGATAGTGCTATTATACTGATTTTAAATATTTTATTTTTAAGAGGCTATCCATTGGTATCTCTTTTAAAAATCACAGATTAAGAATTCCGATTGCGATTTATTTGCCGGCTTCCTGAGTGTTCTTAGCTATTTGTTCTATCCGAAGATAACCACCTTAAGAACACTTTTTTTCCGTCATTTACAACTAAGTAACGAAATCCCAAAGAGTTAATTCCAAACGATTTTCCGGATACTACAAACAATGACTTTTTCTATTTACAAACAGCAGTGCAAACATCAAAAAGCGGACAGCCTGACTGCAATGAATTAATTAAACTGTTATGCTTGGCACTTAAATATACGTTTTAAATGTTTTGTATATTAACCTTTTGCTCCCATTGGCAAGCTTTGAACAGCTAAATAGGGGTTTTGCTGTGTTTTTGGATACTTTCGAGCAGTATCGTCCGAAAAGTTGTCGCGAAATGGCCGTCGCGCCGAGCAAACTGCTGGAGCCGCCCCTGAATCGGGTGCACTGCGCCATTTTACACAGTCGACCGGGTCAAAGTTGCACGCAAGCTCTGCTCTGGAATCTGTACCGCAACCATGTGTCCAGTGCGAAATACTATTCACCCATGTTACTGGTCTGGTAGTTTTTTCATTTGTGTCCACTAAAAAGAAATGTATAATATATATATTACATGTATTCATTTAGTGAAGTCCATTTTTCGGCCGCCTATTCACTTCTAAGCAAGCTAGTCCCTTGGTTATTGATAATTCATATAATAATATTTAAATATATTAAGAAAGCTGTCACTCAAACAATCCCAAAATGAATAGAAACATTTGTTACATCAGTGTCCAATTTGGTTCTTTCAAAAAGAGGATGACTTTATTTAATGCATAAGTGTCACATAAATTATCAGAAAATCAACATAGATTAATGCCTTAGATGTTTTTAAAATTGTACTCACTTTTCACGATTTCAGTGTACAAATTTTATTTCTATAGATATCAAAAGACTATATCAAATAGCTGCTCAATTTTACAACTTAAACAAGAAAGGAAAGCTAACTTCGGGCGGAGCCGAAGTTGATATACCCTTGCAGAATATTATGTACATTATATTCTCCAAAATTATTCATATGATGCATTCTTAATACTCATAAAAAATCCCAACTTCCTAACTTTACAAACACCAAAGTTATGGCATTTTCGATCAATCAGTTATATGGCGGCTATAGGATATAGTCGGCCGATCCTTATGACATTTGGTAGGTCGGATTGATTGGCCAAATATAAAACCCATAGAAAATCCCAGCTTCCTAACTCTACAAACACCAAAGTTATGGCATTTCCGATCAATCAGTTATATGGCAGCTATAGGATATAGTCGTCCGATCCTTATGAAATTTGGTAGGTCGGATTAATTGGTCAACTATATAACCCATAGAAAATCCCAACTTCCTAACTTAACAAACACCAAAGTTATGGCATTTCCGATCAATCAGTTATATAGCAGCTATAGGATATAGTCGGCCGATCCTTATGAAATTTGGTACGTCGGATTGATTGGCCAAATATAATACCCATAGAGAGTCCCAACTTCCTAACTTAACAAACAGCAGAGTTATGGCATTTCCGATCAATCAGTTATATGGCAGCTATAGGATATAGTCGGCCGATCCCGGCCGTTCCGACTTATATACTGCGTGCAAAGGAAAGAAGGGTGTGTGCAAAGTTTCAATTCGATATCTTTAAAACTGAGAGACTAGTTCGCGTAGAAACAGACAGACGGACAGACAGACGGACAGACGGACAGACGGACATGGCTATATCAACTCAGGAGGTGATCCTGATCAAGAAAATATATACTTTATAGGGTCGGAGATGTCTCCTTCACTGCGTTGCACACTTTTGACCAAAATTATAATACCCTCTGCAAGGGTATAATGAAAAGCTGGAAATGGAATTCAGAGAAATATATATTTTTTCGATAAAATGTATTTGCGTATAGGTGTATGTAAATTTGTATGTCATTTTTTTGAGACCAAATAATTTATGTTATAACAAAAACAAGAAAGGAAAGCTAACTTCGGGCGGAGCCGAAGTTGAAATACCCTTGCAGAATATTCTGCAAATTATATTCTCCAAAATTATTCATATGATGCGTTCTTAATACTCATAAAAAATCCCAACTTCCTAACTTTAAAAACACCAAAGTTATGGCATTTCCAATCGTTCAGTTATGTATATGGCAGCTATAGAATATAGTCGGATTAATTGGCCAAATATAAAACCCATAGAAAATCCCAACTTCCTAACTTTACAAACACCAAAGTTATGGCATTTCCGATCAATCAGTTATATGACAGCTATAGGATATAGTCGGCCGATCCTTATGAAATTTGGTACGTCGGATTGATTGGTCAAATATAATACCCATAGAGAGTCCCAACTTCCTAACTTAACAAACAGCAGAGTTATGGCATTTCCGATCAATCAGTTATATGGCAGCTATAGGATATAGTCGGCCGATCCCGGCCGTTCCGACTCATATACTGCGTGCAAAGGAAATAAGGGTGTGTGCAAAGTTTCAATTCGATATCTTTAAAACTGAGAGACTAGTTCGCGTAGAAACAGACAGACGGACAGACAGACGGACAGACGGACAGACGGACAGACGGACGGACGGACAGACGGACAGACGGACAGACGGACATGGCTATATCAACTCAGGAGGTGATCCTGATCAAGAATATATATACTTTATAGGGTCGGAGATGTCTCCTTCACTGCGTTGCACACTTTTGACCAAAATTATAATACCCTCTGCAAGGGTATAACGAGGACGGAAGCTAACTTCGGCAAGCCGAAGTTTTAATACCCTTGCAGACTTTGACGAAATTGCTAAAAGTGAAAAAGTAGCGAAAGGAATAAGGTATACATAAGTAAACTAGATTTGCATCGTTTCAAGTCAATTGCTTTTATACTGCAAAAATGTCATATACAAATAGAAACGAGGACGGAAGCTAACTTCGGCAAGCCGAAGTTTTAATACCCTTGCAGACTTTGACGAAATTGCTAGAAGTGAAAAAGTAGCGAAAGGAATAAGGTATACATAAGTAAACTAGATTTGCATCGTTTCAAGTCAATTGCTTTTATACTGCAAAAATGTCATATACAAAAGGGATACTTTCGCAGCCTTTAACAATTTTTACTATCTCCTTTAAGATATAGACTTCCGAGCGGCAAGCGCTTTTACCCTAATCAAGATATGCGTAAATAAATAAGAATTGGAAAATTTTATGTTAGTAGCTTACACACTGCGCGAAATATTCTGATAATCATCAAATTTGGACCGATTTCACCCTATTGTTCTTATGGGAGCTATAGGATATAGACGTATGTCAATAGCTTATACACTGCGCGAAATATTCTAAAAAACATGAAATTTTGACCGATTTCACCGTATTGTTCCTATGGGAGCTATAGGATATAGACGTCCGATCAGCACGCGCTTTTACCTTGATGAAGGAATGCATAAAAAAATACGATTTGAAAAAATGTACAGCAATAGCTTTTACACATCGCGAAATATTCTGAAAAACATCAAATTTGGACCGATTTTACCCTATTGTTCCTATGGGAGCTATAGGATATAGACGTCCGATCGTCACGCGCTTTTACCCTGATCAAGGTACGCATAAAAAAATAAGATTTGGAAAGATTTATGTCAATAGATTTTACACTGCGCGAAATATCCTAAAAATCATTAAATTTTAACCGATTTTACCCTATTGTTCCTATGGGAGCTATAGGATATAGACGTCCGATCGCCACGCGCTTTTACCCTGATCAAGGTATGCATAAAAAAATACGATTTGTAAAGATTAATGTCAATAGCTTTTACACTGCGCGAAATATCATAAATTCTTGCAAGATATATCCAATTGTTCCTATGGGAGCTATAGGATATAGACGTCCGATCGGGGCGATTTTCAAACTTGATCTGCGTACACATGTTTTAGGACGATTGTGAAAGTTTCAGATCGCTAGCTTTTAAACTGAGCTCGCAAACGGTATTGAAACAGACGGACAGACGGACAGACGGACATGGCTATATCGACTCCCCTATTGATCCTGATCAAGAATATATATACTTTATGGGGTCGGAAACGTCTCCTTCACTGCGTTACAAACTTCTGACCAAAATTATAATACCCTCTGCAAGGGTATAATGATGTTTTAACTAATCATATTTAAAACGTTTTCAAATTTGCAGTTGCCCTTGCTCATGAATCTGCGGCGACTTTCTAAGACTATGGTATATTCAGTGGTGAAAAACTATGCCCAGTCCGTCAGCTTCGCCGCCTGCATTAATGCCATCACTTTTTTACTAATGTGCGTGGGCAGGCGTCTCAATGGTCGATTTGTGCTCATATGTATGCCCTATTTGCCCTGCTGGATTGCCTCGCACCTGAGCTGGTTGATGCCTCCTCAGGTTCTTCATTTTTTTGTGACTGGGATAACATCCGCGGTAAGAAGTTGAATTGGTCGCAGAAAATCGAATTATATCCTGAGATATTTAAAGGCCATCGAAAGCTTTTTGAGGTATTTTGACGTTGGTATGGTGCATTCTCGCTTTGCTCAGACTCTCATATTCATGAGCTTATCTGTGGTGGTCATGTACTATCAGCAGATAAGGAAGTACTCCGGTTTCTGGTTCATCCGACCGGCTTCCTTGCCCGAGGACTACAAGAAATCGACGATCTCCGGGTTAATGATGCAGGGTCTGAAGGAATTAAAATCCTACCTAGGCATTGGACTGGCTTTGGATCTACTCAATCCCGTAATGAAGAGAAACATAAAGCTTCTGCGGCCAAAAATGACAAGTTTCTTGGTGGGCTACATAGGATTGTTTAAGGTAAGGTGTACGAACAGACAATTATTTGCATGTTAAAAAAAAAGAACTCTGACATGATTAGCGCCATTAATTTTAAAATGGTACTTGAATTTAAATTTATTATGAATAAATAAATTTCGAACTATTAAAAGTGGTTATTTAACAAAATAACCAGTAAGTAAAAAAAATGTAATCAATAGAGTTACTATTTATAAAAGTAGTCTTAATTTTGGCCTTAGATAAAAAATATTTTCTAAGTTTGAATGAACTCGTACTTAATATTGTGAATCTGTTTTCAGTTGGTGCAATTACTGTTGTTGAATAATTTAGAATTAAAACAGGCGAATGGTCTGGCATCATTTATAAGTGGCGCTACCTTTGCTCTTCTACCAAATCGACTCACCTTCATGTGTTTCGCTGTTGTAACGACCAGCCAGGTGATTTGGCAACAGGTGTGCAATCTTAAATCCAAAAGGGATCCAGTATTAGCTGCGTTGCAAAGGATACCCTGGGCGAGGATGCTGATACCCTGCAATCTGGCTTATCTGGTCCACATATTCTTTTACCACCAACATCACCTAAACGAGATTGCACGGAGTTTTATAGACTCGACATGTGATAAGAAGTAAGTATATACTTATATTTTTTAAATTCTGATCGAATATGAATTCCCTTTATTAAACCTCTTTAAATCCAGTGGTCAGCGATTATTGGATCTTATGAAACTTCCCAATGTTAACGCAATTTTAGAAACAGTGAATAAGACACCAACAAAATCGTTTTTGTTCTAATTAAGAATTTAACTGTGACATAAAATTCCTATGAATAAAATATGATTTTAAAAATGATTGCAAGCTTGCTTAGTAAGAAGATAATTTATAGCAATATAATTTTCACTTTGCATATGATTAGGAGATCACTACAATTTTGTTTTGTTGTCATGATTTTAATATAAATTCATAAAACAATTTAATTGTCAGATACAAAATCTAAAAGACATTTAAAATATTGATACGTAACTCGTTAACCAGCTAATGTTAGTAGCGATCCGCATACATTAAAATGTCTTTTTTTAAACGGGTTTTAATTTGGCGATATCTCCAAATCTATGACTAGAGAAGTTGGAGATGTCTCTTATTCTGTGAATGGACCAAATGGTGATGTCTCCAAAGCAATTATTTATACTTTCGGTTAAATTTACCTACAAGATATGCACAAGTCTCTTTATGTTTTTTTTTAAATAGCAGTTAAGATAATATGAAAATAAAATAAAAATTTTATATAAATGTAAAATTTTTTTAATAAGATATTTTATTAAAGCTTTGTTAAGGTTGATATACATTTATTGGAATTACGAGTTTTGTAAAAGGGCATGGCCAAAGTCTAAATTAAGCATCATCAGCCAGCCAAATGTCGGAAGTGCAATCACCTCCGGGGTAACGCATTTCATGGGGCAGGCTGGGACCATAGGGCTCATTCCCAAAGTCCACCAAAAAGTCTTCATTTAGGGATATGCCGCCATTCACTGTATCCACATCGATAAGGACAATGTGACCGCCTTGCGAGACCATTTTTGGATAAAACTAAAAGAAATTGAAGGGATTATATTTTTGATATTTCAGAGTAATTTTTTTAAGTACTCACTTGCTTATCCCAAGGAGAATATAAAGATGACGAGACATACAAGCGCTTGCCATCCAGTGAGAGTTGCATCATTTGAGGTCCACCTTCTAGTCGACGACCCTTTACATAACGAGCTGGGGGTCGCTCCTAAAAGAAAATCATGTAAAAAGTGCCAACACATATCTTAATTCCCCAACAACCTTCAGTTCTTTATCCTCCTTAACAATCACATTGGGCAAATCACTGCAAATGGCACCACCCAGGAAAAGCTGTCCTGTTAGCTTGGGACTCTCGGGATCGGTAATATCATATTGCCTTACATCCCCGTGTCGCCAGCAGTTGACATAGAGGAATCGGTCATCCAAGGATATAATGATGTCTGAGATCATGCCACCCATATTCTCCGCCTTTCCATTACCAGTATCAACCAATTTTCCGGGAATGTCTATCACCTTCTTGGCCTCGAACTCATCGGAATCTGTCTTCTTTTTGAAGTAAAACACCTTGGCGTTCAGGGCACATCCAACGAATCCCTCCGGACGTTTGGGATCGTGCAGGAAGCGGATTTCCAAAGGCGTTATGCCGTCCAATCCCAGATCAATGGTTTGGTAGAGAGTCTGTGTAGACCATTTGTAGAAGTTAAGCCGACAGCCATATTGGGTCATGTCATCGAGGTCACCTTCCTTCCAGCCACTAAACAAAAAGAATATTAAAATATGAATACTAAATTCTAGAATTTATAAAAATTACTTCGAAATCTACAACAACCCAAATCTTAAAAAATATATATTTAAATCTGAAAAACTTTGAAGTTATTTCCTTTTTTTAGGAACTCTTAAGAAAATCCAATTCATAATTCCAATCATTGATTTGTAAATTCAATATAAAAATACCTTGCAAGGTAAGATATGAAGCTTTTAATATATATGTTTACTTACCGTCGCCATTTATTGGGAGCTCCCCACTCGGAAGAGACCATCACATCGAAATACGGCTGATACCAGAAATCGTAGCCGCACAATGCCTTCTTTTCGCCCTTCGTCCATGTGCCGATGCAATTGAATTCCGAATCGAAGAGGATAAAGTCTCCTTTGGCATATCCTTCGGCATCACCCATTACGGATATCATGATGTTTCCATTGGCCAAACAGTGGGTCGTATGTGGACCCGTAACATTGTGACTTTTTAACACATCGCCATCGATTGTCTTGATAATCTCTGGCTTTCGGGGATCAGTCACCACATCGAGTATATACACAAAGTCGGAATTCAAGGCCGGCAGCACCAGTCTGTCCCTTTTTGGTACGGTTTTAGAATTCTCGTCCACAAAATAACAACTGGAGCATGCGTTCCAGCCGGAGTGATGCAACTCATCACCTTTGCGATTAGTAAATGTACGGTGCACTATCTGCAATAGATAAAAATATAAAAAAATATAATGTGTAGCTTTTCAAATGAATGTTTGTATTTGTAATTTGCATATGATTGATTTTTGACTATAGATATTATAATAATTAACCACTTCTCTATTATTGGTTTTATTAGTTTTTACCAAAGAAAAGGATATATAGATAAATAAATAAAAAACACCTAATGAGATCATTTGAATACAGTTTACATTGTAATTTCTACATCGATCGTGATTTGACATATATTTTTTTGAACTAATAGTTGAATTTTTTAAAATTTTCAATCCAAATTATTGGATGGGATAGACAATTAATTAATATTCGTAATCTAGCTTACTCCAAAAGTTGCTTGAATGTAAAGTTTATTCTGTTATTTATTTACCTGACAGTAGGTGGGGCTCACGGGATCCACGTCGACCGTGGACAGATAATCTCCGTGGGGCTCATCCAAATTGGGCTGAACTGTGACCGTGTAGAGAAGCTTCTCCCGGGGACCACTCCTCATGGCATCCAGTGGGGTTGCATAACCGGGTCCGCGGCAGCAGGCTGCTGAAAAACAATTGAGTTATCAAAATTGCTGGGGGGTTTGTATTCGAAGATACAACGAAACGAGGCATGTGCTTGCCATACAAAGTATATAATTGTTATTTTTTTTACTTTTATTGGACATTTCTTGGCGGTTGTTGATGAACGAAGCAAGGCGGCAAACTGAGTATCATCCGATGTGGGACGAGAGCTTTATACTTGGACTCTCTTGGCTTGTATACATTTCATCTTTTTATTCAATTAACGAAGAGAACCGGTTTGCCCGGCTTTCTTATCACTACTTATACTACTTAGCACAGTTACACGTTTACATATGTATAGATGTTCTAAGAGTTATTTATTTATTAATTTAGCTTGTCTAAGAATTTGAGAATAATATTCTAGTAAAAGAATTCCCTTCTGATAAGAATTATTGCTCAATTATTATAGCCGAAAAATGAAACTAAGGCTTTGGAATTTTTGAAAAGTGTATCGCGCTTACTAATTTTATATCATTAATCCAATGAAACCTAAGTCAAATAAAACAAGAACGCGGTTTTATAATTTAGTTTGTTTATTTAATAAACAATCAAGAAAAAAAACATGGAGCTCTATCATGAGCTATCTCCAAAATTAATAAAACTTATTTCGATTAAAATAACGAAGTTATTTAACTTTTCTCTATATTATAAACCTGCTATGGAACAAATCAGTGGAACTATAACAAAAGTACTTAGCATAGCAAGGCGTTTGATGAATATTAATTATTAATTTTTGTGAATTTTAATAAACAGCGCCAGTTTTGAAAAGGTAATTTGTTAAACCATTTTACATATTTTTCGAAAGAACCAGTTCCGCTTAAATACATTTTCGATATATTTAGACACAATAAAATACCATGCAAAGAAACGGTCACATGGCGAACTATCGATAGTGCGCCACGTCCTTGCCAGATCGCAGGAAAAATGCAAAGCAACGCCGATTGCCAGGCAAGAAATATTTTAGCGCGTTGCGACGCACCAGTGAAAAAGCAATCGTAATACGCGTGGTAGCGCCTCAATCCAAACTTAAGTGGCTCTAACGAATCCAGGAATCCGGAATCAGCCATGTCGCATCACTATGTGGTGACGGCGCAAAAGCCGACGGCGGTTGTTGCCTGTTTGACGGGTGAGTGGGCGAGAGGGGTCTCTTTAAGGTCTCCCCGGCAAAAGAAAACAGGAAAACAAGCATGTTTGCCGGTCACCGGATTACACAAGCCAAACTGTTTGCTAAACACTGGCTTTTTCTCTTCCTTTAGGTAACTTCACCTCGCCGACGGATCTCAATCTTATTATCGCCCGCAATAACCAGGTTGAAATCGATCTGGTCACGCCGGAGGGACTGCGTCCGCTGAAGGAGATCAACATCAATGGCACAATTGCCGTGATGCGGCACTTCCGGCCGCCTGAAAGCAACAAGGATCTGCTTTTCATCCTGACGCGTCGCTACAACGTCATGATCCTGGAGGCCCGCATGGTCAACGACGTCATCACGGTGGTCACCAAGGCCAACGGGAATGTTTCGGATCCGGTTGCGATTCCATCGGAGGGAGGCGTCATTGCCGCCATCGATCCCAAGGCGAGGGTCATCGGGATGTGCCTGTACCAGGGGCTCTTCACCATTATTCCGATGGACAAGGACGCCAGCGAGCTCAAGGCCACCAGTTTGCGGTAATCCCAGGAATATTACGTTCAAATGTTAGGCACAATTTGGAGGGAAACATCTTGATATATGATTCTGATCAATGGGTCTGCAAATCATACAATTAACTATTGTTTTTATATAAGATGGAAATGGAAACTTGTAGCTTCACTAGTCAAACAAATTTCGCTTAAAATTTTAAAGAACCTATTAGTTTTAGCTGAACTTTTGTCCTTATATTATTTTTATAACGGCTAAATTACCCTTTATTTTCTATTCTCCAGCATGGATGAACTGAACGTGTACGATGTGGAGTTCCTCCACGGCTGCCTCAATCCCACCGTCATCGTCATCCACAAGGACAATGATGGCAGGCACGTGAAGTCACACGAAATTAACTTGCGGGAGAAGGAGTTCATGAAAATCGCATGGAAGCAGGACAATGTGGAGACGGAGGCCACTATGCTGATTCCAGTGCCATCGCCCATCGGTGGAGTGATCGTTATTGGGCGGGAATCGATTGTCTATCACGACGGGAGCAACTATCATGCGGTGGCGCCGCTTACCTTCCGCCAAAGCACCATCAACTGCTACGCCCGTGTGAGTAGTAATGGATTGCGCTACCTGCTAGGAAATATGGATGGTCAGCTGTACATGCTGTTCCTGGGCACCTCGGAAACAAGCAAGGGCGTTACTGTCAAGGACATCAAAGTGGAGCAGCTGGGCGAGATCTCTATACCGGAGTGCATTACTTACCTGGACAATGGGTTCCTCTATATCGGAGCGCGTCACGGGGATTCGCAATTGGTACGTCTAAATTCTGAGGCCATCGATGGCTCCTATGTCGTGCCCGTAGAGAACTTTACCAATCTGGCTCCGATTCTGGACATTGCCGTGGTGGATCTGGATCGGCAGGGACAGGGCCAGATCATTACGTGTTCGGGCAGTTTTAAGGATGGATCCCTGCGCATTATTCGCATAGGAATTGGCATCCAGGAGCATGCCTGCATCGATCTCCCAGGCATTAAAGGTATGTGGTCTTTAAAAGTGGGAGTCGATGAAAATCCGTACGAGAATACTCTGGTACTGGCCTTTGTGGGACACACTAGGATTCTAACCCTATCTGGCGAAGAAGTGGAAGAGACCGAGATTCCCGGATTTGCCAGCGATCTGCAGACTTTCCTTTGTTCGAATGTGGATTACGATCAGGTGGGTCTTGTCTCGTCAAGAAGACTATAAATTAAAGAACTATTTTAATTAATATTTAAACTTTTACCACAGTTGATTCAAGTTACTTCGGATAGTGTCCGCTTGGTAAATTGTGCCACCAAGGCCCTCGTGGACGAGTGGCGTCCACAGGGCGATCGATCCATCGGCGTTGTATCCTGCAATACCACTCAGATTTTAGTGGCCTCTGCATGCGACATATTTTACATTGTTATCGAAAATGGAAGCCTAAAGGAGAAGTGCCGCAGGACATTAGCATATGAAGTGGCCTGTCTGGACATCACTCCCCTGGATGAGACGCAGAAGAAGTCGGACTTGGTGGCCGTGGGCTTATGGACGGATATATCTGCCGTGATTCTTTCTCTGCCCGAACTTGAGACCATCTACACCGAGAAACTAAGCGGAGGTAAGCGATAAAAGCTGTTGATATTTTAGTTTTTAGCGAATTAGCCTTGTTTAAACATATCATAAATTTGACAGAAACAGTTAGCATAGGTAAAACTCTTTACATTTTGAATGCCCCGAATGAAACTTTATCTTCTCTACCAGCTGGATATTTTTAACAACTATTGGCAATTCTACTAAGTACTTGTTTTTTTTGCAGAAATCATTCCTCGGTCCATTCTGATGACCACCTTTGAGGGAATCCATTATCTTCTGTGCGCTTTGGGCGATGGCTCTATGTATTATTTTATTATGGATCAAAAAACTGGGCAGTTGACGGATAAGAAAAAGGTGACTCTCGGTACACAACCCACCACGCTGCGCACCTTCCGGTCCTTATCCACCACGAATGTCTTTGCCTGCTCCGATCGCCCCACGGTGATTTACTCGTCGAATCATAAGTTGGTGTTCTCTAATGTAAATCTGAAAGAGGTGAACCACATGTGCTCGCTGAACGCACAGGCCTATCCGGATAGTTTGGCACTGGCCAACAAGAACGCTGTTATTTTGGGCACCATCGATGAGATCCAAAAGCTGCATATTAGAACAGTGCCGCTGGGCGAGGGGCCACGACGAATTGCCTACCAGGAAGCATCGCAGACATTTGCTGTGTCAACTCTTCGTATTGATGTCCATGGAAGGGGCGGAGCTAAACCACTGCGCAATAGTGCCTCTACGCAAGCGCAGAATATTACTTGCAGTTCGAATATCTTGCCCAAGCCGGGTGGTGGAAATTCTACGGCTGCCAATGCAGAAGTGGGTCAGGAGATCGATGTACACAACCTGTTGGTCATCGATCAAAACACTTTTGAGGTTCTCCATGCCCACCAATTTGTTTCCCCCGAAACTATATCCTCGCTGATGTCCGCCAAGCTGGGCGATGACCCTAATACGTATTACGTGGTAGCCACATCACTAGTGATTCCAGAGGAACCGGAGCCAAAGGTGGGACGAATAATCATTTTCCACTACCACGACAACAAGCTAACACAAGTGGCCGAAACGAAGGTGGATGGAACTTGCTATGCCCTGGTCGAGTTCAATGGCAAAGTTCTGGCCGGAATCGGCAGTTTTGTACGTCTGTACGAGTGGACTAACGAGAAGGAGCTGCGCATGGAGTGTAACATTCAAAACATGATTGCCGCCTTGTATTTAAAGGCTAAGGGTGACTTCATCTTGGTTGGAGATCTGATGAGATCAATCACGCTGCTGCAGCACAAGCAGATGGAGGGCATCTTTGTGGAGATCGCTCGCGATTGCGAACCCAAGTGGATGCGAGCCGTTGAGATTCTTGACGATGACACCTTCCTGGGCTCCGAGACAAATGGGAATCTGTTCGTGTGCCAAAAGGACAGGTTAGTAGATTATAAGGGTGGTAATTTTAAAACTCCTAACAACACAAATTATCTATTAATTATTTTAGTGCCGCGACCACTGACGAGGAGCGCCAGTTGCTGCCGGAGCTGGCCCGTTTTCATTTGGGTGATACCGTGAACGTTTTCCGTCACGGATCTCTGGTGATGCAGAACGTGGGTGAGCGGACAACACCAATCAATGGATGTGTGCTGTACGGGACTTGTAACGGGGCCATCGGGATTGTGACCCAGGTACCGCAGGATTTCTACGACTTCCTACACGGCCTTGAGGAGCGTCTGAAGAAGATTATCAAGTCAGTGGGAAAGATTGAGCATACGTACTACCGCAATTTCCAAATCAACACCAAAGTGGAGCCCAGCGAGGGATTCATCGATGGAGATCTGATCGAGAGCTTTTTGGACTTGAGTCGAGAGAAGATGCGCGATGCCGTTCAGGGATTGGAGGTGGGATTAATTCATTTGTGTAAACTCGAGCTGGTTTTAAACGTGTTAAAAATCTTTTTCAGTTGACTCTGAATGGCGAACGGAAGGGTGCTGATGTGGAAGATGTTATTAAGATAGTCGAGGACCTCACTCGCATGCATTGAGAACTTTGGGTCAATTGTATATAAGTACTGGAAAAGGAACTGTCCCGAACTATTTGAGTGTACATGAATTTTTGATACCATGTATCCAGCTTATCCCCGTAATTACCCGCAGAAACTCTCCGTGCTTGATGCGCTACGACTGTTGTGCACACGATGTTTCTCGAAATCCTCGTTTGTGTTTGCTCGTAAAATTATTGACAAAGTAGCAAAAAAATTGTTTAAGGTGAGCCGCACGCGCACTTTCAAAGTTGCGCCACAGTCACGCATTAATTTAATAAAAAAATTTAATTCGGAAAGCATGGTTTTTTCTATTGTTTCGTGATCTGAACGGACTTTTAGGTAGGTTTTCAATACATGTTACATAAACATTTTGTAGCATACTTCTAGGATCAAAGTTATAATTTGTAGGTTGGGCAATTTCTTTAATGTTGAAAAAATCGTAATGTTACCTTTTATTAAATTATAAGAATCAAAAATAAAATGACACTTAATTAAACGACTCCCAAAAATTTTAAAAACAACCTGTTATATCTTAAGATTCTGTAAGCTGTCTTAAGATTGTGTGGTTTTAATTTGGTTGAGAAATGCACGTGAATGTAGGGAAGTAATTTTGTTTTTTTACTAACAGAAAATGACAAATAAAGCTATATATTATATATATTTTTCGGTCGTTATTTATTTTTTATGTTCATATATACATATTTAGTTACTGAACGTTCTAAAAACTACAGTTAAAACTATGATTGAAGCCTTAAATTGTATGAAAGGAATTTATTTTGGAAATTTTTGTTAGACCTTTTTAATTATTAATTAATTATTATTATTATTATTATTATTAATTAGTCATTGTATCTTATTGCAAAGTGATGGCCATCAGATATACCGAATATAGAAATGCCGAATTTATGAGTTTTCCTATGTTATTCCGGGAATCAAATGAAACTAACTAATACCTTTTGGCACATCGTACGCATGCGCAGCATAGTTCTTTTTTTGCACCGGTTACCGGGCACGTCCAAATCATCCGGATCCTCCCGAAACGTGAGTTAATATATTCAGGAGGGTGTGAGAACAAACGGTGGGAGGGGTGCTTCAGGAAGGGGTGGTGCGGCGGCATTGGCGTTTCATTCATTAATACACGCACACAGGCTGGAATGTTGCATGTTTAGCCACCACCAACACGAGCAACACCAGGCGACACCAGCAACTTCCAGCCAAGGGATTCAAATTCTGAGATTGTGTGTGTGAGAGAGTGGTATCTGTGTGTGTGCGTGTATGTTGTATCTGTGTGTGTGTGCGTGCGCACTCGTCGCGCCTCCAAAATCACTTGCCTTTGTGTTGGTGTTGCTGCCGTGCCGTGATGTTGCTGCTGTGATGTTGCTGCCGTGCTGCTGCTGCTGCCCCCAGTTACTGCAGGCTGAGCTCGGTCCATTTGAGTAGTCACTCATTCGCTCGCCGCCCGCTCGCTGGTTCAGCTGCGCGTCCACGCCGTCTGTCCATATATACCAAATATATATATATCCCAGTCTGGATATTTTGCTCGTCGTGCCTGCAAGTGTCAAAAAAAATATATTTAAAAGAAATATCGAATTCTAGTAAGCAAATTGCTTGAGTGCCATTAAACGCAATACAATATAATCACCGTCAACGGCTCTATTAAAAAACCTTTCCGGCGAAACATAAAAATCGTTCGGCCGCAACACATTTAAATTTATTTATTTTTAAATCATCTATTTAAAAGAAAATGTGGTAGCTACATTTAACAGTCAGCGGTTGAAGCGCCTATTTAGTTTGTTCGCCCGCTAAACGGAGCCTTTCCTATTGGGATTTATCGACGGTGGCCAAAGTGCAACAGTACCAGCGGCAAAACGGATAGCTGCCAGAGGTGAGTGAGCCTAGCTCCCTGCAGAATGACTCATAACCCTTCAAAGGAACCTTTCTTAACCATTAAAATTAATAACAAAAAAAAAAGGGCAGTGAACAAGTGAAATTCAATGCGAATTGTAGTAGGCGGCATTTGAAAAACATGTATGTACGGCAAACAAAGAACCCGGGGCATGGATCGTCATCGCCATCGTGCCCTCGATGTCACACAGTCTGTAATATGACGCCCACAACTCGACGATGCCGTCGGCGGTGGTTACTTTTCGCTCCGTCCTCCCAGCGACCAAGAATCAGAAATATTGTTTAGCAACAATAACAATAAAACGAAATCATACAGCCCCAAAAATAAAGAAACCCATAAACCGAAACGCCCCACTGCCAAATGCAAATTTTCAGGGCCCAAACGAAAACAACCGAAAGACTTTTTATAATTACAAAAAGGGAAAAGCAGCAAATCGAATCGCACTTAAAAGTGTCCCCTCTCAGAGTCCGGATCCCGGAATCCAATCCCAGACGCTGTGGTCATCAGCCCCGGGTTTTCTTCAGAATCCGTTGCAGTCCCCATAAAACGAAATCCAACGATTGTTTTTGTTTTGTTTATGGTCCTCTCCGAGAATCGGTGAAACTATAGGGCTTTCATTAGGATGAATCTGGATCTTACACAAAACCATACAATGAAATGTAAAAAAATATTCGATCTAGAAATTAAAATTATTTCTTCAACTGCCACATATAACCTGACATGTCACCAAAATTGTCTTTTTAACTAACTAAAAAAAATTTGTCGAAGTATTGTTGCCAGCTAGAACTTGAAAAATCGATTGATAGCTGAGTGCTCATATTTGTTTTTTTAGTATTTCAAATACAATTTTTATATTTCATCCTATCCTATTTTAAACAGGTATAATTACTTTGTAAACCTTACTTAGCGAGATATCTTCTATTCTATAAAGTCACAAATTGGTTTTAACACTTCCAAGTCTTTTTGATTTAATTTTTACGCGATTTGCTCAGACGGACATGTAGATATAATATTCGTCCTAGGAACGATCGATTAAATGACAGTCATTAACTGCATAATTGCTAGGTAAACACCTTCTTCCTGCCCAACTATAGAATTTTTATAGTAAAACTTAGTAAGATTTCTAAATATTATTACAAGGTTCATAAAATTGAATTACGACTTAGCCTTCGTATTGATTAGAAAATGAAAGTTAAACACAAATCCATTCAAAATATGCCCAACCAATGAACAACTCTGTCAAAGCGAAATATCAAAGTAAACCCAAGTAGGAGCAGAGTCAAATACTTTACTGACCAGACTTCAGACGGGTCTTCACAATGCCCAACGAGAGTTGTCGAGACAGTATGCGTTTCAAGTTTAATGTAGAATATGCAAATTGCGCATAGCTAATTTGCATTTATGACAAAAATAATAACTAATAATCTGGCCAAGAGGGAGGGAGCGTGAACGGAAACCGAGACGCAGATGGATATGGAAATGGAGATGGTGATGGTGATGGATACGGATACGGGGACCAGGCGACAATGACACACGAGAGATATGCGAGAAATTTACTATAATACTTCCAGGAAGGCAGAAAGAGAGTGCCGACCGAAGGGCGTAAAGCACGGCGAGCAAACAAAACAGCATTCGGCTCGGACATTGGACATTGGTTGCTGGCCAAGAGAAATGACCATGACGGGTCGCCAGTTCCAGCTCCCCAGCTCCCTAGCTCCTCAGGTCTTTAGGTCCCCGTCTCCAGATGCAGTCCACTCCAAAAGGTGTCGCGCGCCAAGCAAATTAGCGGGTGTGTCCAATTCGAAAACGAGCCTTGAGCCTTAGGAGGATGTCAGTCCTCCTAAAACTCACACAAGTATTTTACCACTTGAAAAAATACAAACTGAAAACTATGTTCAAGTGATCTATTAAAAATACAAATTGAAAATGATAACAAAAAATATCAAGAAAACTATTTACCAATCTTTTGTACCGGTAAAGATCTACGAAATCGTTTTAAGCCTCCCAAGTTTGAAATGTGTACATTTATTTAAAATTTGTATTAAAGGTATTAATGAGAATTTTGTGTTAGAAAGTTAAAAGTTTGTGTTAAAAAGAAACATAATATGAAATACAAAAATAATAGAATGTTTATAAAAAGTCAGACCTAAAAACATCCAACCAACTATCTACACAGATACAAGTTTTAGGTGCAAAAACTGGGTCAAAACATTTTGAAATATTGATTTTTTTTATGTTACGCACAAATGGCCTAAAAATAATAAGATTCATTAAAAATGTTCTGGAATTTAAATACTGCAAGGAAATAAATATCAATTGCATTAAGTCCGGCACTCATTAATTTTTTTCTGAGTGCTTTTCTTTGACATGTGTGTTAGTGTCTTCGATGTCGTGTCCCTTTGTCACGTGAAATCAAATCAGGCATTACTATTTCACGCTCAATCGCCAATGTAATTGAGCCGCACAGCCGTCCCTGTCCCGATTCCTTTAAGTGTTTAAGTGTCCCAGGTTGGTGTCCAACTGCCGCCACTATGTCTGCCACAAATCCAATTGGTTGCCGCAGCTCTGCCATGAATCCGGGATCAGATCGGCGTTTTTCCGGTCGCCCAGCTTCCGTACAAATAAAACCGGAGGGGTGGCACTGGCATCCAAGCGTGAGTTGCAGCTGGAGCAACAGTTAAACCATTTTCACACCCAAATTAAATTTTATATTTATACACACAGATCTGGTGAAATATTTTTCTAATTTTTACAACTATTTGTTAATGGCTTAATTTATGCGACAACACGAACTCTTGCACATAACTGAACGTTTGTGGGATAGTCCTTGGCACATGTCCTGTGTCCATTGTTTGGATCACGTTCCCGCGCCGATATCGAATCGGTTCGATCTGAGAGGCAACTTTGTTTCCAAGTGAACAGCGTCGAGAAATAGCTGAGATCCTGGATCCATTGTCCTCGTCCTCGCCTTGGTCCTGCCATTCCGCTATCGGATAACAGAGCCCGCATACACGGTTCGTTTTCTTTTTTGTCCCCGTGTATCCGTACCGTATCTTTGGCGCTTCGAACTTGTAAGTTTTTTTCTCTTTACGAAAAAAGGGTTCGAGATTTTTGTGCTGAAAATATGGGAATCCCTGTGTCCAATGTGCACAGGCATGTGTGCATATTATGCCATCATCGAACGTCTTAAGATATGAATCTAGATCTGTGGGCTTGGCTGACATGTAAGCATGGAAAAGTTGAGGGTTGATCCGCAGTAGCCCCTAGACTTAGGCATAGAAATATTTTATCTCTCACTCTTTTTTAATTTCTTCTTGGAAGCATTATTGTTATTACAAAAACTACAATTTAAATTGTTCTGCAAATTACATGTGAAATGGATTTTTATACCCGTTACTCGTAGAGTAAAAGGGTATATTGTATTCGTGCAAAAGTATGTAACAGCTAGAAGGAAGCGTTTCCGACCCTATAAAGTATATATATTCTTGATCAGGGTCACTAGCCGAGTCGATATAGCCATGTCCGTCTGTCCGTCTGTCCGTCTGTCCGTCTGTCCGTCTGTCCGTCTGTCTGTCCGTCTGTCTGTCCGTCCGTATGAACGCTGAGATCTCGGAAACTATAAAAGCTAGAAGATTGGCATTTTGCATGCAGATTCTAGGAGTTCCTACGCAGCGCAAGTTTGTTTCAAAAAGGTGCCACGCCCCCTTTAACGCCCACAATCGCTTATATACGATTTTAAAAATTTAAATATTTCGGAAAAGTAAAAATGCAGTTTTATTGTGTTTATCAATACCTATCGAAATGTAGAAGAAATTTTTCAAATCGGACCATTCGTTAAAAAGTTATGCGTGATCAAAGTTTCTATCTCCATCTCCCTCGCACTCCCTATACCTGAGTAACGGGTATCTGATAGTCGGGGCACCCGACTATAACGTTCTCTCTTGTTTTCTTTTGTGGCAGCCAAAAAATGATCTTTTTAAAACGTATTAGATATCTTTTGACATTCAGAAAAAAATACTTTGATGGGTACTTAATCTTTAAGACATCTTAATCTGTTTTTATTTGGGATGTATATTACCAATAAATTGTTTGTGATATTGTTTTGATTATTCATAATATTACAAGAATAATTACAACAAACAATTTTACAATTGTGAACAAGAATCCCAGGTCCTTTTTTCAATTCCGTAGAAGCTGGTAAGGCGCCAGTGCCAGTGAATCACTTTCATAAATTATCTGAGGTCGAAAGGAACAATAAATGAAAAAGAATATTTAAAATTTTTGCACGTTGTGCCAAGATAATGGGAGATGTTGCCGTGGCAGCAGCAACAACACTGCGCTGCTGCAGCTGAGGGCGAAAATTGTGCTGCGCGTGCAAGAAATTGTAAACGTCATATGCGATTAGCTCATCGACGCCAGCAAAACAAACAAAAAACAAAGCCAAGAAAGCAGCCGAAATATTGTAAGACATAAAGCACTGGCAGCTGAAAAAAGGCATTATCGGCAACGACAACAAATCGGCAACACGTGCCATGGAGCCGGCTGACAAGTGCCAAAAGATACTCATACTATTCGTGATCGATCAATGAATGAATCGCGTAAAGTCCAAAATACGATATGATGACAACAAATAATGGCCAATCACCAATTAACCCCAATATATGACTGTGTTTTATAACGGATACAAACGTCTGAAGTTTTTTCACTATATTAACTATTTAAAAACTTGTGTTTTTATAAAAAGTTTATTCATCCAAATATCAAACATTATTTTGACTTATTAAAATTTATTTGAAATAAACTATTACAATTGTTTAAACTAAAACTTTTAAAATAATATTTGTTGATTTTAAAATTTTAAGTAGAAAACATTGTTAAAATTAAAAAAGATATAACTTTTCACACCGTTCCTTGTTTAACACTTAAACCTTCAGAGTTTGCCAGGAAAATTACAAATATTTATATTACATTTTTGAGCG